CCCCCACACACACACACAGACACAGAGAGAGAGAGGAGAAATCTTCTGTGAGTGATGCATTTCTCCCGTGTCTGTCTCACTGTGTGTGTTAACAGGAGTTGAGTGAGACGGATGTGTTGAGCGGTATGCTGCGGCCGACCGAGGAGCCGCCCGAGGCCACTGGGGGGGCGGGAGAGGCCGCCGCTGCATCCAGCAGCAATACAGACGATGACACCACCAACAACAAGGGCAACATGGGTACTGCACCTCTCAGCTGACACGCGAGACGGGCATCACCGAGAATGCACTGTTTGGGTGTGTGTGTAGGTAACCGTGGTGGCGGTGGTGGAGGTGGTGGTGGTGCCAAGATCCACATCGACAGCAGGGGGGTGGGGCTGTCCGCTGAGGCAGCGCGGTGACTCACTGACGGACTGACGGACGGATGGCAGCTGCTATTGTGTATAGCAGTGGCATTTGTATGTCTGTCTGTCTGTATGTGTGTGTGTGTGTGTATGGTGGGCTGGACCAAGGATCGGACGGAAGCAATAATGAATGACCGAAAGGTCGGGAAGGAAACCGGTCGTTCTCCCTCATATCATATCAGATCGGTCCGCACAGCATGCAATTGTTAACGGCAACGTATCGGTCAATAGCTCGGCCATCTACACACACCAACACAGCTGATGCATTCACTTATGAGCAGTACAACCAACGAACGACAGACAGACAGACAGACAAGGCAGGCAGACCTAAAGTCACACGCCTACACCTACACCTACACATACGACCAGGCCAACAGCAGCACTATCCCACCCCATTCCTCCCATCCCTCCCGTCCTATGCGCTATCTGTCCATGTATTGATCAGATCTCTCTCCCTCCCTCCCTCCCTCCCGGTGTGTGTGTGTGTGTGTCTTCTTCTCCTGGCTGTGTGAAGATGTATGTGAAGGTATCCTAGCTCTGGTGGTGTCGGGATGCATGAGCTCGTTGTGTGTGCGAATGTATGATGTGTCGTCGCCACATGGAATTCATCCCATGGTTCTACGTCACTGCCTCATGCCGCCGGGGCTGAACAACATCAGGCCTGTGCACGTAGAACCATACTCGGATGAATTCCATGTGGCGACGGGATCGAACGAAAGACAAATCACACCACCACACCAATGACATGTCATCCGCCGCTCAGCTCGTGGTGAGCTGGCGATGGTTCGATGAGCAACCACACGCATACACACACGAACGAACATATACACAAGGGCCAGCTGGGTGGCTCGCTGGCTGGCTGTGGTGATGTACAGCATTAAAACGCTCTCCATCCATCCGTCCATCCGTCCGTCCGTCAGTCTTCAAAATCAAAGCATCCCTCCACTCACTCTCCTACCTACCCCTACCGCCCCACCCCACCCCATCCCATCCACAAATGAGTGAATGCCTTAGTGAGTGTGTGTGTGTGTGTGTGCTGTGCCTTAGAGCAACAACGACACATACCACCACCAGAGAGATGCCATCCATCATCATCTTGCTCTCTCATGCCGCCGTTGTGTGGTTGTTGTGGTGCTGGTGTTGGCGACGGTGGTGGTGCCCTCCTCCACTTTGGCGAGTGCCTGTGTCTCAGAGCCTCTCTCTTTGTCTTTGTCTGATCCTCTGGGCGAGTCCGCTGTCGAAAGGTCGCTCTCGGTCCTTTGGTTGTGCAGCCGCTTGCCGCGGCCGGAGAGGGAGTAGGTCATGACGCCCGCCACACACTGCATATACATCGCACACACACACACGTCGGTGCCTCTGTGTGTTGTGGGTGTGGCGTATTGAGGTGACTTTTTCACTGACTGACTGACCACAGCTGCTGAGAAGCCTTTGGTTGTCGTTAGGCACTGTGACGGCTGCAGGTGGCAGAAAAGGAAGTGGCTGCCCACGAAGGTGATGGCCGTGCGTGTGCCCTGCAGAAACACACACAACGAGACGAGACGACACACAACACACACACACATACCATATGACGACGCACTCGTCGACCATTCTGCTGTGGTGTGGCTCATGCAGTGCAGTGCAGTGCAGCCGTCCATCCATATGTGCGGTGCAGTGCCGTGCAGTGGGTAGCTTGCCTTGAGGACGCCCGATGAGACGGCGCCCAGGTGTTTGATGATGTACCACAGAGTGGCCGACCGAATCAGACAGAGACTTGACAGCACCAGGTAGCACACTATGATCACCTGCAGACAGACACACATACACACACACACAGACAGAGACAGAGAGGGAGAGAGAGAGAGTGCATGTGTCTGTGGTTTGGGAGGCGTGTGGCGACACTCTCACCACAGGGTCTCCATTTCGGTCTCTGATGTTCTGCACGACGAGTGTGTTCCACCGTGGGATGGTCCAGACGAGCTGCCAGAGGGTGAGGACGATGCTGTTGACGATGCCGATCATGCACACCAGGTTGGGCCCCTCGATGGCGTTGGGCCCCGTCAGATACTTCTCGTTGTACACGTAAGACAAGCCATGCTGACACACACACACACACACACACACAAAATAACCACACAAAACAACCACACACAATTACCACACGCAATAACCAGACACGTGGAAATGATCTCTCTCCCTCTCTCCCTCTCTCTCTCTCTCTGTGTGTGTGTGAGCACCAGTATGGCGGCAATGAAGAGGCAGGTCGCGCCGATGAGTTCCTCCGGCCCCGACTTGAACTCTATGACGACAGACCGGATGGTCAGGCCCACACAGATGACCAGAATGCCCACGCACTGCCCCGAGCTCAGCCGCTTCCCCAGCAGCAGATACGCCAGGAAGGCCGTCCACACGACAGAGGACGAGCCGAGCACCATGTACACCGCCGAACCGGCGAACACCAGACCCACTGCAGACGGCCACACACACAGGTGAGGTGAGAGCGATGCGCTAATGCATTGGGTGCCTGTCTGTCTGTGCACCCACCTTTCTCGAATATCTGGTGCATGAGGTCGGTGCCTGCGATCTGGACGGCTGCCCACCAATTGCACTTCCTGTCCCAGAACCACATACGCAACAACACACACGCACACACGCACGCCCGATGCCAGCAAGCCAGTGTCTTCAGTCCATGTGGCTCAAACTGCTGACCATACCATATGCTCTGTTTGGTGTTCCAGAAGCCGAGGAAGAGCATGGCGTAATAGATGGGCAGCACGTAGAGGAACGTTGAGGCAGGCGCGCCGCCGTGGTACTTTATCGCATCAGTCTACATGAACACACACAATACACACACGCACACACAGACACCAGAGGGGGTCCACGGGGTGTGTGTGTGTCTATGTGTGTGTGTCTGGCTGACCAGCAGCGGGTGCATGCAGTTGACGGCGAGGTAGATGGCGCATCTCCCCAGCACCGCCCATCGGGTCGGCTCCGGGTCAAGATCCACACCCATCAATCAAACTACACACTGCTGCACGGCCTTCAGACGAACAGGACAGGGGTGTAGAGCAACCACAGGACAGGAGCGATGAGAGGGCCTTCCCGCGCTTTCGTCGTGTGCGAGCTTTTTGCCCAGGTCTGCGAGCCAAGCTTCTTGGAAAAACAGGTTCGGTTCGAGGTGCTCCAGTCATCGTGCTCTTCACGATTCATTCGTTTGCTTCTCCGCTTCTCGTGCCTCTCAGGTTGACCGTTCGGCTGCGGACAGTGTAAAACACGGGATGAAGAAGGGGTTCCTCCTGTCTGGCGGGCCGGGCTTGTCGGCCGACAAACCACAGACACAGGAGGCCAATGGATCTGCTGCTGCCGGCACGGCGGTGAAGGGAATCTTGATCAAGGGGTGCAGCATGGAGAACGTCGAGATCCCTGCGAGTGTGCTGCCGGTGTCGGCTGCCAATGGATGGCACAAGTGCAAGGTGCCGCACCTGATGGGCATACCCCTCATGATCCGCCAGTGGCAAGCGTATAAGCCAGAGGACTTCACTGACAACCAGGTGGGTGGCATGGGTGGGCGGATAAATGCCATCCATCCATCCATTCATTTGTCTGTCGAGTGTGTGTGTGGTGTTTCGTGGTGCAGGTGGCGACGCGTCTGATGATCGAGCCTGACAGCGGATTCGCCCCTCCGCAGTGGCTGGGAGGTGAGCATACACACACTCTCTCTTCCACCCAATACCTTTCGCTCAACTCATTCATTCATCGCCCTTTTCTCCTTTGCTTCTCCATCCTTCTTCCTACCACTGGCAGGCCCCCACAACATGCTTGGTCGCGTGATGGTGGCCCGCACCGACGGCAAGCCCTTCACGATAGTGCCGTCGGTGTCCGGCATCTGTTTGCGTGGATCTGTTTGCGGTCAGGTGTGCTTGACTTGGTGTGCGTGCATCTGTTTGCGGTCAGGTGTGCGAAGTACTTCATGTGCGCTGTCCTTCGCAACTGCATGGCAACAAGGATTCACACACACATACATGGCACAGACAGAGAGGCCGGAAGGCAGGTGACCTTGATGTGAGTGTTTGCTGACCTTGATGTGAGTGTTTGCTGACCTTGAGTGACTTGATGGCAGGCACTCACTCACTTCCACTCACAGTGGACAAAGCAGTCAATCATCATAGTGTCACATACGGTGAAGCGGTCCACAATTCAATCAGACAAGCAATGATCGCGTACACATACACACACTTTATCACACAAATGTATGTCTCAGTGTACACATGCGGCGGGAGTGCGTCATGAGTCAGCAGCAGCTGCGCTAGTAGAGGCGTTTCCCTGGTTTGCAGCAGCTGCTGCGGCTGCTGCGGTGCTGCTTGAGCCGGTCGTGGCGAAGAGCTCCGTCAGTAGACCGCTCTGGCTCTTACTCGCAGTTGTCATGAGCCACTCGCGCGATTCAGGACACTGCTGGCGAATGAAGTTGAGAATCTGCCCTGCCAACGTTTGCACCTGACACACACGAACAGGCACACACGATGGTCTTGGGATGGATGTGTGGTGGTCGCATGCCTGAGATGAAGTTGCTGTGCGGTGGACCGCGCCAATGGTCTTGGCGAGCTTGGATGCCTGTGTGAGGCCAGACCATCGAGGTGAGGGCATGACGTGTCAATGGGAGGCAGAGGGCATAAGGTGAAGGTTGTATGAGTGCCTTGTGTACTGACGCACCTTGAGTAGGGACTGGAGCTCATCATCACAGTGGGTCGATATCAACGCCTGTGCGCGACGTAACTCAGAGAGAAGAGCCTCAGTGTTCTGCACACACCCGCATCAAAGCGCCCCAGCGTGTGGTTGTGACTCGCGAAGGCGCACCATCCCTAGCGCACCATGCTATGCCAGGCATTCGTGAGCCTCTTCTCCGCTTGCTCAAACCCCGCCATCCTCGCGCGACGGTGGAAGGGAGGAACTCCAAACCCTCGCCGGAAACCCAGATGAGAAACCCTACACCGTGTTGGTCCGAGAACTGGGCCAGGCTGGACGACTACATCTTCAACGACATATTCGGCGCGTTTGAGGATGGCGACCCCCGGGAGGCCCGGCGGAGGATGCGCAAGACGTCGTTCGAAGAGTGGCTGGAGATGAACGACTATGACATGAGCATATGGGAGTTTGCACACTGATGGATGGATGGATGGAGGGCCTGGTGGCGTCTGCGTAGCTATCTATCTCTTTTTCTGTGAGGGTGTGTTGTGCATATACGTGGAAGAGTGCCTGAGTGTGGAGGCGACGGCCAACATGACAATTCATTGAGAAAGGGAGGGGCTGCGTAGGTGCATAATTGGGTGAATGGCGTGGATGGATAATTGATGGATGGAGAGACACCTGCACGTGTTGTGTTGTGCGTGGCTTCCGTCTACTTGTGGCGTCCATTTCCGCTTTATCGGTGACTTATGACCCACGACCCACTGATTGATTGACATGCTCGCGTCAAGAAATCCATGGCTTATGACGCATCACGCCTTCAACTCACACAGCCGCACCTCATCAAAGGGCCTCAATGCTTGCAAGGCCCGCACCACATCCCGTAGTCAACTCAGTCACTGTTTGGTGTACTCTCCCAGCTGGATGTTGTTGAGCCTCTCGAGAGCCAAAGTCAGCCCGTGTATGCCGGCATCGCCATCGCCCTGGGCCTGCACACACACACACACACACACACACACACACACAAACAGAGAGAAAGCTGATGCCTCTCTCTGTTTCTGTGCCTTGGTTGGTGTGCGCACCTTGAGGGCGACATAGAGCTGCTGCGCCAGTGCGAGGCCTGGGAGCGCCAGGCCCATCTTGTTGGCCTCCTCGAGCGCAATACGCATGTCCTAACAACCACACACACACACACACACACACACAACATAGATAGACCAATGGTGGGCGGGGGGTGTTTGTGTGCAGACAGACGCGCGTGGCAGCACCGTAATTGATTACCTTGATAAAATGTTCGACAAAGAAGCCGGGCTTGAAGTCTCGCTTGAGGATTCGGGGGCCGTAGTTGGTCACACTCCTGCAGCACCACCGACACACATACACACACACGGACGGAGGGAGGGAAGAAGCGAATTAGGGCCATGGTGGCTGCGTGATGTGATGTGGTGTGCCGCAGTCACCAGCTGCCCGCCGCCCCTCCACTGACAGCTTTCAATGTCGCCTCCACGTCAAGACCTGCCTTGTAGGCGTACAACAGACCTGCACCAACCAGCACATACACACACACACACACATACAGAGGGATCTGTGGTTCGTTTTGACGGCGTGTTGGTCCACCTTCGGTGACACCGATGATGTTGGTCGAGATGAGAATCTGGTTGGTCATCTTGGTGTGCTGACCTACACCCAACTACCCCTTCACACACGAGCACCCTCTCTCTTCCCTCCTGCTGTGTGGATGTGTACCTAGCCCCGGCGGCCCCATATAGTGGATGGTGTCTTCCCGCCCCATGCAGCACAGCAACGGCCTGACCGCGTCAAAGGCAGCCTTGTCACCGCCACAAAAGATCGCCAGGCGGGCCTCACGCGCACCGACGTCACCCCCCGACACGGGCGCGTCCACCGCAGCGCAGTTTTGCCGTGCCGCTTTCTCGGCCAGCTCTTGAGCGAGCGACGGCTTGCCTATGTCACCGACACAACGCACACGTGCGTGTGCGTTTCTTCCCTCTTTATTGCTCTCTCACTGGTGGTCATATCGACGACGATCCCTTCCGGTTTGAGGCCAGCCAGCACACCATCAGTGCCGGCTATCACTGCACACACAAGGAGCCGCGCCTATGGTAGAAGTGTCCTGGTTTCTGTGTCAGTCGTCATACCTTGCTGCACGTCTTCAGGGAAGCCGACGATTGTGAAGACGACATCGCTGGACTCGGCAACCTTACGTGGGGAATCGGCAAGGACGGCACCTGGGCAGGCAGGCCAGCACAGGCCACCAATACAGGAAGAGCGTGTGAATGCAGACATTCATCAGATCAGTCACTGACAGGTGGTGTGGGTACTGACCTTTCTCGACCAGTGCTGCGCACTTGGATGGTGTCCGGCTGTAGACTGTCATCGAGTAGCCCTGAACACACCCACACATGCGCTGCTCGTGTGATGGATGTTGTGTCAAGCCTTCATTCACTCATTACCGCCTTGATGAGATGCGAGCACATGGACTGCCCCATCACCCCTGCACCAATAAACCCCACTCGAGTGCCGCCTGGCGCGGCCGACGCAAAAGAAGACGACATCACGCCCTGTGCAGGCGTTTTTCAAGGCGTCGGCCGAGCGTTGAGGGATCTGCAATGAATTGGATGGATGAACGATGCAAGATACTGCCTGTCGTCGCTGGAGCAGACCTGTGACGCTGCGGCACACACACACACACACACACAGACACACGCATCACGCATCACATAGAATGAGCAGATTCAGTCGTTTCTTTGACCTTTCTGTACCTGCAACTGAATACCCACGCGTACGCCTTCACGCAGGTAGACGTTCCCAAGGAGAAGGAGCGTGCGATCGGTCTGCGAGCTGAGCGCAGGACCGGACGGAGGAGGAAAGGGAAGATTTCGCAGCAGGCATGGCGCGCCGCGCTGCCAGGAGCAAGAAACGGAAGAGATCCGGCGGGCTGCCGATGGCAGACGGCCGGCAGCTCAAGTATGAGGATTGGTTCATGAGCCAGCCATGGGTGGTCAACGAGGGCGAGACGGAAGACGCGTTCGGTCGCCTGCTGCAAGATCTGAGGCAGGGAGGGGAAAAGGCGCATGAAGCAGCAGCAGCAGCGTCACCTGCTCCCGGGAGGGCACCTGATGAAGGTGGCGGTGAGAGCCGCGGAGCATCGGGGTTGTCGTCATCGGCAGCAGCACCTGAGGATGAAAGGCCTCCACGGAAGAAGAAACGACGGAAGAAGGATGGGGTCGGGGATGACGGGGAGGTGGATGGGAGTGCGTCAAGTGCGGCAGCACGAGAAGATGGCTCGACTGGGCGGCAGAGTGGTGAAGCTGAAGCTGACTGATGGATGGACTGACTTCTCAAGTGGCAATGAGGCATGGGAGAGGGAAGGGCGAGAGAGATCTGATGTGTGTGTGTGTGTGTGTGTGTGCTTGTGGGTGTCACGTGTCTGTGGATATGTCTGTCCGTGCATTGCACTGCACTTATTCCTCTGCCTGCTCTTCGTTGTCATTGTCATTGTCTTGTTCCTGCTCGTGGCTTTCTTTCTGATCGGTCTGGTTCTCCCCTCCTGGCGTGTCTCTGATGTAGAAGGTGTTGGTCTGAAGCGCCTCTGAGAGCAGGGGAGGCAAACACTTCTCCATCTGTGGTGGGATGTGCAGTCGGGAGGGGGCAGAGCAGGCAGACAGACAGACAGACAGACAGACGGCAACACATGTGCGTGTGTTGGTGGAATGAATGAATGCTACGCTTGTGCGTGCATAGCATATGCCCACGCACCGATCTGTTGAGCTTGTCATTGTCGCCCTGTGCGCTCTTCATCAGAGACCTCAGCAGAAGGGACACCTCGTTGTCACCTGCACACACACACACACACACAAGCCGCTCACACACCATTCTAGCACCCACCAGGCAGGGACCCACTTGCATCCTGATAGAAAGCTTTCAGCCTCTTGGTGAGAGACATCTCAAGCCGCTCCTGCTTCAGATGCTCATATTGCCGCCTGATGGTGTCAGCTGAGAACTGTTCGAACGCCTCTGGGAATAGCAGGGCATGCAGACGGACAACTCGCTGCACGAGAGACAACACATCCGGGCAGCCAATGAGAAAGCCGAGGTGCACATGACATGGCTCCACATTTCCTTCTTCCCTGTCTTACTCTCCTTTCTGCAGGGTCAGGGAAGGCTTGTCTCAGTGCACTTGCCGCACCAGCCACTGCGTCGAGAGATGGCTCCGGATATATCTGTAGACAGACAATCCGCTCACGGTCATTCTTGTGGTGCATGTCTCTTGAGCGTCTCATCCACCGCCTTGAGCTGCAGCTGCAAGTTGCTCGTCTCGTGCCGCTGCCTCTCTTCCTCACACAAATGCGCGAGAGCAGACCTGCAGAGATCATGACGGAGTGTGAGGACATCGACGTGCATCACGCATGCGTCTTCTGGGTACATACCTGATGGCAGCAGGGTCGACTTGCTCGATTTTCGACGGCAAGATCCTTTGCGCATTCCTGAGTAGCTTCTTCAACTCGATAGAGGTGAAATCCTTGAGCTGGTCGAAGACTTCGTTGGTGAGTGCGTTGAGCTGGTCAGTAGGGGTGAATGGGTACACCGTCTCCCGCATCAGACACACAAACTGGCCCTTCAACACACGCCTGTCGTCCTTCCGTTGCAAATAAGCGAACAGACCTTCAGACACCGACAAGCAATCGCCATGAGGGCAGGAGGATTGTCTGGGCGTCTCCATCCATCCGGCCATGTACCTTGTCTGCCTTTGCCATAGTGCTGCTCCAGTGACTGCTTTAATGGTGCCCCATCGAGGTTCAAATCCACAAGACTTGTCAGCCTGCCCAACTCGCGAGGCAGATTCTGACCTCGCATCGAGAGAACACCACATGCGTGTCTCCGAGCGTGTGTGTGATGGACCACCTGTATGAGTGTGTTTCTGAGGTCGAGGGTCTTGAGCATGATGCAGAGGCTGAGGGCCTCGGGCACGACATACAGGGGGTTGTCGTTCAGGAACAGAGACTGCACTGATGTCAGCCGCCCAATCTGTACACATGTACACAGAGACGCACACATGCACAAGATCCACCAATTCCCGATCGATGTCTGTGTTCATTCATTGCATGTCTCTACTCTTGCATCAAGCTTCCTAATGTTGTTGAAGCCCTGCAAAAACCGTACCAGCAAACACAGGTACGTACGTCGTACACAATCATCGATCCTGATCGAATGAAGGCATACATATGTACATATATTGTCATATATACCAAGTCCAGTCTGATAAGCGCCGTCAGTGACCAAAGGACTGGAGGCAGAGAATCAGAGAGGTTGCAGTGGCTGAGATGCAGACACTTGCTCGGAGGCCGGGAGCCATCGGTGCGAACCGACGCAAGACCTGCACGGACAGAGAGAGGCGTCCCGGACACATTGCATCGCAACATGTGATTCGCTTACGTGCGCTTGTCTCGGGCGATGCTGCCATTGCAGGAGGAACAGATGCACTGCGAAAAAACCGTGCAAGCTTGAGGGGGCCTGCTGGGGGCTACATGCAGACTCGGAGTGGTGGCCTCCTCTCCAGCCACCGAGGGCGTAGCAGGCAGTGAGGGGACAACCATCCACCACCTGCAGGACTTCTTTGCAGTGGATAAAGCCCTCCCCACACCCAAACAGCCGCCTTTCCTCGTTTGCACCCTGTTGTAGCTCTCTCTCTCCCCTCCGCTCGCTCTTCTGACCAAGCCATGCCGGAAGACGAGTCCCCCACCATGGCTGGCGACGTGAGTCCCGGCGGCATCAAAGAGGCCCTCGCGTCCATGCCCGAACCCAGGAACAACACGGCCAATATCGCATTCCCTGAGAACCTCGATTTCGGCCAAACCGGCACAATGCGCGTCCCAAATGGTGAGAGAGAGGCTATGCACAGGCCTAGGGAACGGGGGAAGGCGTGTTGGGCTCTTCTGTGTGGCCGGTGTGCAGGGGCGTTGGTTTCGCCTAACAAGCTGCGGCTACAAACGTTTGATGAGACGATGCGGCAGACTCAGTCCGTCAGCGGCGTGCCGGGGCCGTGTGTCGACGAGCTGTGCCCCCCGGAGTGTGGCAAACACTCCTGTACGGTGAAAAGTATACACAGACAGAGACGACAACACAGAGACAGACAGACAGACAGACTGAGACAGACAGATAGAGAGAGTGGGGGGGGCGAGGGGGCGGGCGTGGTGTGCCTCAATGGACATATATCTGTGGCTCCTCCCGTCAGGCACGCCCAACTGGAAGCTCCGCCAGGTGCCCTTTGACGGGACAACAACCTACAAGACCGAATACTACAAGAAACCTATAGAGTTCCAGAAGGCTGCCAAAGTGTCACGGGAGTACAAGCCGCTGCCATTTGAGGGCACCACCACACACAAGACCGACTACCAGAAGGCAATCAAGGGAGACACAGACAGACGGACAGACAGACAGACAGACACACAGAGAGATGTGTCTCTGTCTGTATGCGGATCAATCAGTGGGCGATCGAGCCCGCCCCCCGTCCGAAGTCGGCCGTTGTGCGGCCGTCGCTGCCCTTCGACGCCAGTACCACATACAAGACCGACTACCTCAAGAAGCCGCTGCCGGAGCACGCACCGCCACAAACCGCTCAGTGGAAACCTAGGTGACTCACGGACACACAAAGGGGGGGCTCACACATGTCCCTGGGCGTCATTGTGTCAGTCCCGCTAAGTTCTACGGTGATACCAACTACCGAGCGGAGTACTACCAGAAGCCCCTCCCAGAGGGGCCCAAGGAGGCCGGCCCCGCCAAGGCCTACAAACCCCTGCCCTTCGAAGGATCCAGCAACTACAGGTACGTAACAAGCAGTCATACCATTGTGTATGGCCACGCACACACTTGCAAGGCTCCATTGTTCTGTGTGTGTCGTTGTGCATCGGACAGGGAGGAGTACAAGCCTTGGGAGCTGCCCAAACGGTCGGTGAGACACTGCAGGGCGTGATTCCGGTTGGTGAGCGGTCGACCGATGTGTGTCTCATGTTGGGCAGTGATTTGGTCCGCCCCGCGACCGTCAGGGCCTTCCCGGACAGCCGAGACTTCCTGACGGAGGTCAGGCAGCTCACACACACACAGCACATACCACCACCACGTCCACCAGATGCCATCTCTCTCTCTCTCTCTCTCTGCTGTCGTCCCGATGTGTCTGCAGGCCAAGTCGAGCTATTCCAAGAAGCCGCTGCCCCCGTCACCCCCTCCACAGCAGACTCGATACATTCCCAAAGACGTCAAATTCGACGGAACCACCAACTATCGGTCTGCTCGGCCACACACAAAGAGGGACACAGAGGAGAGGGGGACGATTTTCTTGGCTGGTGTTGTGTTGTTTGGGGTATGTCTCTGCTGCAGCACTGAGTACACTGCCAAGCCAATAGAGGTCCACAAGCCGGTGGAGGTCACCCGGGAGTACAAGCCGCTGCCATTTGAGGGCACCACCACACACAAGACCGACTACCAGAAGGCAATCAAGGGAGACACACACAGACGGACAGACAGACACACAGACAGACACACAGAGAGATGTGCCTCTGTCTGTATGCGGGTCAATCAGTGGGCCATCGAGCCCGCCCCCCGTCCGAAGTCGGCCGTTGTGCGGCCGTCGCTGCCCTTCGACGCCAGTACCACATACAAGACCGACTACCTCAAGAAGCCGCTGCCGGAACACGCACCGCCACAAACCGCTCAGTGGAAACCTAGGTTAGTGACCTACCAACACACATAGAGAGAGCCACCCATCCCATGGCCTCTGTGTCTCTGTCTGTGCGTCACTGTGTCAGTCCCGCTAAGTTCTACGGTGACACCAACTACCGAGCGGAGTACTACCAGAAGCCCCTCTCAGAGGGGCCCAAGGAGGCCGGCCCCGCCAAGGCCTACAAACCCCTGCCCTTCGAAGGATCCAGCAACTACAGGTAACAAATGGCCACGCGTGAACACACTTGCAAGGCTCCATTGTCCTGTGTGTGTCGTTGTGCATCGGACAGGGAGGAGTACAAGCCTTGGGAGCTGCCCAAACGGTCGGTGGGACACTGCACGGCGTGGGTTCGGTTGTTGAGCGGTCGACCCATGTGTGTCTCATGTTGTGCAGTGATTTGGTCCGCCCCGCGACAGTCAGGGCCTTCCCGGACAGCCGAGACTTCCTGACGGAGGTCGGGCGACACACACACACACATATGGGGGACATATAATGGGAGTTGCGTGGGTGTGTCTGCAGGCCAAGTCGAGCTATTCCAAGAAGCCGCTGCCCCCGTCACCCCCTCCACAGCAGACTCGGTACATTCCCAAAGACGTCAAATTCGACGGAACCACCAACTATCGGTCTGCTCGGCCACACACAAAGAGGGACACAGAGGAGAGGGGCACCATTCTCTTGGCTGATGTTGTGTTGTCAAATTGGGGTATGTGTCGGCTGCAGCACTGAGTACACTGCCAAGCCAATAGAGGTCCACAAGCCGGCGGAGGTCACCCGGGAGTACAAGCCGCTGCCATTTGAGGGCACCACCACACACAAGACCGACTACCAGAAGGCAATCAAGGGAGACACAGACAGACAGTTAGCCAAGAGGGACACACAGAGAGATGTATCTCGTTTGCTGTGTGTGTGGATCAATCAGTGGGCGATCGAGCCCGCCCCCCGTCCGAAGTCGGCCGTTGTGCGGCCGTCGCTGCCCTTCGACGCCAGTACCACATACAAGACCGACTACCTCAAGAAGCCGCTGCCGGAACACGCACCGCCGCAAACCGCACAATGGAAACCTAAGTGAGTGACCCAACGTTGACACATAGAGAGAGAGAGCCACCCATGTGTCTGGGTGTCACTATGTCAGTCCTGCCAAGTTCTACGGTGACACCAACTACCGAGCGGAGTACTACCAGAAGCCCCTCCCAGAGGGGCCCAAGGAGGCCGGCCCCGCCAAGGCCTACAAACCCCTGCCCTTCGAAGGATCCAGCAACTACAGGTAACAAATGGCCACGCGTGAACACACTTGCAAGGCTCCATTGTCCTGTGTGTGTCGTTGTGCATCGGACAGGGAGGAGTACAAGCCTTGGGAGCTGCCCAAACGGTCGGTGGGACACTGCACGGCATGGGTTCGGTTGTTGAGCGGTCGACCCATGTGTGTCTCATGTTGTGCAGTGATTTGGTCCGCCCAGCCACCGTCAGGGCCTTCCCGGACAGCCGAGACTTCCTGACGGAGGTCGGGCAACACACATACACACACATGGGGGACATATAATGGGAGTTGCGTGGGTGTGTCTGCAGGCCAAGTCGAGCTATTCCAAGAAGCCGCTGCCCCCGTCACCCCCTCCACAGCAGACTCGGTACATTCCCAAAGACGTCAAATTCGACGGAACCACCAACTATCGGTCTGCTCGGCCACACACAAAGAGGGACACAGAGGAGAGGGGCACCATTCTCTTGGCTGGTGTTGTGTTGTCAAATTGGGGTATGTGTCGGCTGCAGCACTGAGTACACTGCCAAGCCAATAGAGGTCCACAAGCCGGCGGAGGTCACCCGGGAGTACAAGCCGCTGCCATTTGAGGGCACCACCACACACAAGACCGACTACCAGAAGGCAATCAAGGGAGACACAGACAGACGGACAGACAGACACACAGACAGACACACAGAGAGATGTGCCTCTGTCTGTATGCCGGTCAATCAGTGGGCCATCGAGCCCGCCCCCCGTCCGAAGTCGGCCGTTGTGCGGCCGTCGCTGCCCTTCGACGCCAGTACGACCTACAAGACCGACTACCTCAAGAAGCCGCTGCCGGAACACGCACCGCCACAAACCGCTCAGTGGAAACCTAGGTACGTGACCCAACGTTGACACATAGAGAGAGAGAGCCACCCATGTGTCTCTGGGTGTCATTCAGTCCCGCTAAGTTCTACGGTGACACAAACTACCGAGCGGAGTACTACCAGAAGCCCCTCCCAGAGGGGCCCAAAGCCATGCCAGCGTCCAAGTCGAGTAGGCAGATAAAGAGAGAGAAGCATCTGCCACCTTCCCCACCCCTTGTGTGTGTCTTTGTGTGTGTGCCTTCAGTGGGTCGGCTGCCGTTTGATGGGGTCAGACACACAGCAAGAGAAGCCCGCAGACACACACAACACCAATCGCATCCTTCGTGTCTGTCCAAATGCAGGTCACCACCTACAAGACCGACTACCTGAAGTGGTCAGTCAGTCAGTGAGCAGACTGCTGGGCGGCTGCATGCCAGACAGACAGACAGACATCCACTTCTTTGTGCTTCGCCTTTTCCTTCCTTCGCCTCAGGCCTGCCCAGATGATGCCAGTGCCGGCTCGTATGTCTCATCAGCCTTTCCCAGACACGAGAGACTTCCGGTAAGCACACGAGAGACTTCCGGACCACACATACCAAAGCTCGTGTATGTGTGTGTGTGTGTGTGTGTCAGCTCGACGTACAAGGGCGACTACCTCAAGAAGCCGCTGCCGGTGCGGCCCGTGTGTCCCGTCACACTACTGCCGCCATACCCATACCCTTGCGAACCCAGGAGACACATATTCTGGTCACACACACACATATATTCAGAAAGAGAGAGAGGGGCATCTGTGTGTTTGTGTGTTGCAGGGACCCTGTTGCCCAGAAGTGGTACTAAGAGGGAGGGAGGGAGGGAGATCGAAGGAGGCTAGATACCGACAGAGACGGATGTATGAGCCCGGTTTTTGGAGTGAGCATGGCTGCACCGTCCGTCCGTCTCAATGAATGAGTGCTCATGGCCTGCTTGCCTGCCTGGGTGGCTGACTGGCTGGCTGGGTGTCTGATGCCATTGATCATACAGTATATATTGCGGTCCGCAAGAAGGGCGCACGGACGTAGAGTCTAGGAATGTCCCTGCCTGCCTGCCAAATGGCATTCTTGTGTGCCTGCCTGCCTGTCTGTCTCCCTTCTGGCTGTCTGGATGTTGTGTGTGTATGATTGCACGGCTGGCTAACCTAAAGGAGAAGAGCACAGCAAGGGAAGCGGGCGGACATGCAAGGTGTTCGGTCAACGAACTAAGCGCTGGCTGATTGGTTGATTGATTGACGCTCTCTGGTCTGACCAAAGCACGCACAGGTGTGTCCCACATCTCTCTCGTCTCATGATGTACCACCTCATTTTCTTATCTGCACAAGGCCGGCAGCAGCCCTTAAGACTCATCTACATCCATCCATCCAATCTCTCTCTCTTCCCCTCTGTCGTCTCCTAAACACATCTCTCGCCCGCCGTTGTCAGTCAGTACGGTATCCACTCGATGGACAGACAGAAATGCGCTCCGTCAATTGTCCCTTGTGCTGGCGGCTGCAGTGAGGGCGAACGAATCCAGCACGGGATCTAGCAGACCCTGCACACACAGACACAGACACAGACACACACACATGGATGGCATCCATTCTGCAATGCAGAATGTGGATGCCCCATCCATCCACCCACACTAGCCACCTGTGTGGCCTTGTCGGCCCAGTCGGCACTGTTGGCAGAGATCCACACCTGCACACACACACACACACACACAGCGAGAGAGAGAGAGAGAGAGCACGTCCTGATACGAAAGACCACTCAAGCCGCTTGTGTGGTGTGTGCGGCTCCCTCCGCATGCTCACCACATACATCAGCCCATCCCTGAGCAGAGCCTGCAGACACGAGCAGGTCAGGTGAGTGACGCACACCAAGACATATATACAGAAAAGATGATGACCCGATCGATCGATCAACACGGTCCCCTCCCTCCCATGACCCTGCCTGCCTGTCGCTCCTCGCTCACCTTTGCCTTGACATATCGGTCGATGGGCGGCAGGCTCTCCTCTGCCGCCCCGCCCCCCTCGCCCCCAGCCTGTGCCAGCAGCTGGTTGGTGGCACCCCTGCCCTGCTTCTTCGGCCTTTCCTGTGTCGTCTGCATCTCAAACGAAAGGCCCGTGTCGGAATCGGTCTGCACCAGCATCACCTGGGGGACGGGACACACACCATCGATGGATGGATGGGAGGTGAGTGTGTGTGTGTGTGTGTGTGCGTACTCTGGTTGACGACGGCGATTCGTCTCTAAGAATCGGCCTGTTCCTGCCCTCCTTCTCCCGAATCAACAGCTTGGCTATCCCTGCACGAACCACACCATGCGGAACACACACCACAGAACAGTGTGCCGCGCCATCTCTCTCTTTGGCCATGCAACTATGCCACTCACCCAGCTCACTGCCGACGTCCTTGAGCACATTGAACTCATCGACATTAGGAATCAGCCCCGCCTTGTCGAACAGCTCAAACACGTCATACACCGTCACCGTCAGGGCCCGCCCATTCCTGATGTCATTCGCCACAAACGCCAACCCGCCCGCCTTCTCGACATTCCTCTGCGCCGAGAACCACCCTGAAGGCACGTCCACCTCAAAGCCCCACTTGCCGTCCTCTATCCGCTTGTAGCCCTCGTCCTGCTCCTCCAGGGCCAGCACAGGCAGCGGCAGGAGCGTCGTGAGCAGCGGCAGCGGCCGTAGCAGCAGTGCCCGCCGTCTCGACTCCCTTGCTGCAAGCTGATGCCGATTGGACGGGGAGGTAGGGAGATGGGAACGGGGCGAGGGGAGGTAGGCAGACACGCCCATCACGGCTGCTGCGAGGATGGCGAGAAGCGCGGCGCTGGTGATGGGTGAGATCGGTTTCCTTCTTCTGCATCTTGAAGCGAAAGATCTCCAACACATGGTGCTGGGGAAGAAGAGGTGTCAACAGCAAAGGGCGTGAAGAGATCTGCAGCTGAGGGATGAGTGCGAGCTTGGCTTGCAGATCTCTCTCCATCGTTTCGGCGCAAGCACCCCCGCCTGCGTCACTCCTGTGCTGTCGGAGTCACCGGGACCCTGACATTTCCTCGTCAAGGCCTTCAACCCCCCCTTCCCGACCCACTCCCTCCCGGCATCAACACTAGCCCCTGCCCGCCCCTCCCTGCCCTCCCGTGCCACCGCTTCAGCCCCACTTCTCGTCCAGGCCTCCATCTTCCCACCCCACCCGTCACGTCAGCAGCAGCGTCAGACCCTGAGCCCCGCCCTCGGGCCGTCCCTCTGCGCCTTCTTCGTCGACGCCGTCGCTCCCCCCCTGTACGACCACCTCAGCCCCACTCATGCCCGGCGAGCGTGAGGGCGTGCTCCCCCGACGGGACGTCAATTGGGTGTGGCACTGGCGCCCTGTCGCCCAGGAGGTCAAGCTGAGCGACGGCTACCTGAAGATCAGCCGGACAGGCTGCTGCTGGGGACGCGGCCCAAGTACATCGACCTGGGCGACAAGCGCATCTGTGTGGCGGCCCGCAAGCGGCGAGACGACGGGCGATACTTCAACTTCAAGAACATCGCCAACGCGCTGCTGGTCTGGTACGACGACACCGGCAAGAAGGGCACCATGGACTTCGACACGTGCAGCAGCACCGAGTGAGTGAGGAAATGATCAATGGCGCGCGTCTGACACACGGGTCTATCTTATCGCGATTGTGCGTGTCTGTGTGGGCGTGTGACATCAGGCTCATAGCCCTCTACGACGGGGCAAGAGGGCCGAAGGCCTGCTTCGAGTGCAGGGACTCCGCCGAGCTGGACGAGTGGTACAACCACATCAAGTGGGTGGTGCACCACGAAGCCGTTGACAACTTGGTTCGCTTTCAATACATACTTGCAATCCTCACTTACATAACCTCATTTCTCTCTCTCTCTCTCTCTGTGTCCGTTTCATTTCCCCAATCTGTCTGTCTGCAGATGTTGGAGACGTTCAACGAAGGCGGTGTCCCTGCCGTCCTGCAGTCAACGGCCCTTCAACAACTGGCAGCTCTCCCATCTGCCCAACCAGCCATTCAGGCAAACCACGTCGACACCGTTCCTGCTGCTGCTGCCGCCGCCGCCGCCGCCGCCCCGGTGGACGACGCCGCATCCCACACATCCCGCCGCAGCTCCCTCTCCCTCGCCGCCGGCATGCTCATCATGCCGGCCTTCCGCGGCATCGGCAGCAATGAGGCCATCGACAAGCGAGTAGCGGAGCTGGTCGGCAGCCGCAGCAACAACAAGAAGGCCTTCAAGGGCAAAGGGGAGGCTGTGGCCGCCCGAGCATCGTCCGTCGGTGAGGATTGGGACACGCTGTGTGCCGAGGCGACGAGCGTCAGGCTCTCTGCTGAAGACACGCAGAAGGCTGCGGCCGTGGCAGCCTCACGAGGCGAGAGCTGGGACGATCTCGGCCGCCAGACGGCCTGAATTGTGGGAACCGGACACACACACACACAGGTGTGTAGGGGTGAGTGTGGGGATGGGTGTGGGCTGAGTGCAGTGCTGCGCTTGTGTGTCTGTTGGTATCGGCTGTTCTGTGAGCAATTTGTTAGATGAACACACACAAAGAGGCAAAGCAAGCGGAGAGTCAGACAGAAAGGGGACCGGTGCGGGGTCAGTGACGCATCGACGGATCGATGGATGGATGGATGGATGGATGGATGGGCGTATGTAATGGGGCTGTCTGTCGGGGCTCTTTTTCGTTTGCGCCTGCCTGCCTGCCTGCGATTCATAACAATTCGTCTCTGCGATCGACTGGCCGGCCAGCTGCTGTCCATGCATTTGCCGTCATCTGATCTGGTGAAAGAGGGAGACAGAGAGGAATGAGAGAGGCTGTTCTGTGCACACAACAAGACGACAGATGCGTATAGTCAGTCCCCTCAGTATGAGCGTGGGAGTGCCGTGCCTTTTGCCTGCCTGCCTGGTTATGTGGTTGCATTCAACGCGATTGTGTGGGTGCCTGGCTGGCCGGCTGTATATCTGCTGTGATCTCATCTGATGTGTGTGCGTATGAGTGTGTGAGGGAGAGAGGGAGGGAGGGATTCAGGGAGAGGGAGGAGGGAGGGCAGGCTGTCCTGTGAACCAAATGAGAGATGCGCACACCCACCGAATGATAATGATGGATGGATGAATGGATGGCAGTCTTTTTCGCTTTTCGCGTTTCGTGTTCTGTGCTATGATTGGCTGTGTTTGTTGCTCTTGGTCGACTGGCTGGCTGGCTGGCTGGCTGGCTGGCCGGCTGCTGCCCATACATTTGCCGTCATCTGATCTGGTGTGAGAGGGCGAGAGAGAGGGAAAGGGAGGAGAGAGGCTGTTGTGTGCACAACGAGACGACAGATGGACACACCACGAAAGGATTGTTCTGGTATGTTTGGTCGTAGGCAGGATGCGTATAGTCCCCTCAGTGAGTGTGGGAGTGCCGTGCTTTTCGCCTGCCTGGTTATGTGGCACGTGGTCTGTCGCCCAGCGACCTCTGCGTGTGTTAATCCTATGCTCTCCGTCAGATTTGGCCAGGGGGCGGGGGGGCTGGTGGACAACTGACTTGCACCTGTGCTGTGCTATGCTGTGCTGTGCTGTCTGTCTGATCATCAAGAGAGTAAGTCGTTGATTGTCTGGATTCTGCTTTTGTGTGTGTGGGTCGATTAAGTGAATGGACTTAAGCCATGTGGTGTGGACGGACGACTGCATGGCACATCTGTGGATGGTCCAGACAGACAGACAGACAGGCAGCCCAACGAACCATGAAGGCAGACCCATGGGTTTTCAATCAATGCGCATGCATCTGTGTCTGTGTGTGTGACGCAACGCCATGGCGTGCGATGACGCCATCCATGGCTTTAACAACCAACACACATGCCATGCAGCCCATCTATCTCACAACTCATTCATTCATCTCGCCCACGCAAAACGACCTTGCCGGTCACCCTGCCTGTCTCCAGCCGACTAAATGCCTCAGGCAGGCTGTCGAAAGGGAACACCGAGTCGACCACCGGCCGCACCACGCCTCTCTCATACAACTCGCGCACCCGATAAAGGTCGCTGCCCCTCGCTCGTACGGTGAAGAAGGGCACACTGGCCGGCCGGTTGATGCCGCCCCTGATGGTCAGGACGCTGCCGGCGATGGCCAGGCAGCTGTCCCAATCGCCGGTGGCGTCTACGGCGAAATCGTAATCACTTAGGACGTCCGTGACCTTCTGTTTTGTGTAATCGACCACCTGACACACCAAACCAATGCACACACAGCACGAAGGGGAGGGAAAGAGAGTAGACCAATCCGTGTGTGGCTCAGTAGCTAGCTTACGATGTTTGCGCCGAGTTGTTTGAGCAGCTGTGCCTTCTCCTCACCACTGGCTGTTGTGGCAATGTGCTTGACACCGATGTAGTGCTTCATCAGCTGGATGGCCGTCGTCCCAATGCCGCCCGCGCCGGCCGTCCACAGCACACGCGCATCGGGGGGAATGGCCAGGGAGTCGAGCACTTGAAGGGATGTCATGACGGCCGTCGGCAGAGAGGCACATTCCTGATAGAGCAACCAGCCGATGGAGCAACGGACAGAAAGGCACACACATGTCATGTGTTTGGAAGGAGGGTGCGGTGTGTGTTTGGCACTTACATAATACATACTTGGTGCGTGAGGGATGCCGGCTTCTCGGCAATGAAGGCTTCATTGACCGCCGTGTACTCAGCAAAGGTGCCGTAGCGCTGAGGGCACACACCTGCAAGGCAAGCACACATCCAGACAGTTTACAAGTCTGCTTGTATTGCAGATCATGCAGATCGGGAGTGTGAAGGTGTGGGTGGGTGTACCTCTCTCATGGACGTAGCCGTACACGTCCATGCCCTCCTGCCATTTGGTGACGTCCCGGCCGACACCGACCACAGTGCCCGAAAAGTCATACCTGACGCCACACAGGCAGACAGACAGACACGTGATTCACAAACACGACAGGTGTGAACCCTCCCTCGCACCCTCCCTGGCACATATATACCCCGGAACAAAGGGAAAGGTGTCATTGATGAATGCGGCAACGAGGCCAGTCCGCCGGGCTGCACGAGACCACACTCAAACAATCAGTTCTCGGCCCATCGATGGGTCGTTCGTCTGTATGCATGTTGGTTGATCTGCAGGTAGGCACCTATGTCTATCGGATTGAGCGCTGCAGCCTTGATCTTGACGAGCACCTGGTTGGCACCGGGCGAGGGGCGGGGGAAACTGCGCCTTTCCAGCACCTCAGGACCGCCGTACCCTGAATGTATGCGCACACACACAGAGACGATGAGGCATCAATGAGCGCCCATCCACCTATCCCCTGATTACCTTACCTGTCTGCACCCATGCCTCCATCTGCTCGGCTCGTGCATCATCTTCTTTCTCTTCGGTTTCCAAACCAACAGCAGGGCTTTCACGCCGCTGGCTCACCGCTGCGTGTTTGCGCACTGCAGATGCAGGCAACCGTCGCCAAGATGCCTCCACAAAGAGGGGAGTTTGATGCGGATCGTTTCTGGAGGGCTGCCGCACAGAGAGAGCGGTGAAAGGGATCAGGTATGAGGTGAGGGTCACGAAACAGCAAGACACAGAGGAGAAAGATGTCATCGGGGGAAAGGGAGATCTGCAAAGCCAAGCTCGCGGTTGCCAAAGAAGGAGCGTGTCGCCCAGCTGGACGTCGCCGATTTGACCGACTGGTAAGAGAACAAGTATGCAAGCGGACGCAAGAAGAGCCGACCAAGCATGCGCCGCAGCATCATCACAACGCGTTGCTTGTCGTGTTGCAGGTGTTAATTTGATGGTTGAGCGGCAGCAGAAACGTCTGCTGCTGGCCTCATGAAGACTGCAGGTGTTGATTTGATAGTTCACGCCCCCCGAGCATGAGTGTTGAAGGAGAGCCGAAGCGTCCCCGCACACAAGGCGGCGACTCGGCCGCTGCAAATGAGAACACACCGGTGAGCATCCGACAAGCGAACTCATTAAGGACAGAGAGCGACTCACTGATGCACCCTCACTTATTGTGTGTGTGTGTGTGTGTTGCAGTCCATCAGTGAGGGTTTGGTTCGTCTGGAGGAGCGCATCGCATCGCTGCACACACAGATAGATCAGGCAAGTCGCGGGCGCATGAGGGGCCCAATGGCCTCACTGCTGGTGTGCTCTTATCCACTGTGTGTGTGTGCGATGCCTGCAGGTCACACGAGAGGCTGCCGGTGTGCAGCAGCTCTCCAACACCACAGTCGCCGCACAGGTCAACCACACACACACAGACACGAGAGCACTGCAGCCGTCACTCTCTCCCTGGTTGTCTGTGTGTTTGGTGCAGACGCCCTTTCTCGCCGATAAGTGGGTGAGCGTCTTCGCCGCTCTCTCATCGGCTAAAGATGCGCTGCGCGACGTCGAGGGTGGCGTCAAGGGCACCATTCGGCCTGGTTGTCTGTGTGTTTGGTGCAGACGCCCTTTCTCGCCGATAAGTGGGTGAGCGTCTTCGCCGCTCTCTCATCGGCTAAAGATGCGCTGCGCGACGTCGAGGGTGGCGTCAAGGGCACCATTCGGCCTATCGGCTGGGCCAAGCCGCCCCCGCCCGCCGACTCGGCCGACGGCCTGCCGCCTGATGTCTGCCGCGACGTCATCTACCCGTGCCTGCCCATCGATGAGGCCATCTGCTCGGCCCGCCCCATCAGCAGGGCGTACGGCACCCAACTCGTCAATGAGGCCTTCGTGACGGCCCGCATCGACGACCACCTCAGCCGCCACTCACTGACCGGCCTCATCGACGTGCACCGGACAGCAGCAGACACAGCCAATGCCGCGGCGCCCACCCCAGCCCCTCCGACCAGCAGCAGCAGCAGCAGTGACGCACCGGCCCCTGCTGGTGATGCCGGTGGCGATGGTGGTGGTCATCAGTCGCACTTCGGTTATCTGTCCCAGTGCTGCTATGCACTCGAGCATGGCGGGGCGGTGTGGTGTGAGTCGCCCGACTTCATCCGCCCCACTCACATCTACAAGCTGACGCCCTCGACTGGTGTGCCGCTGATCATGTCGCCCCAGTGGATGGCGGCCCACCTGCCCACCAAGGCCGACTTCCACACCATGCCCCTCGCCCTTCGCCAGTACAGCACATTCGGCCACCTCCTCAACTACAGGGGGACCAGTCTCGCGCTCACAAAGGTGGATGAGGCCGATGAGGGCGGTGAGGGCAAGAAGGAGGCCGAGAGGGGGGATGGAGAGGAGGGAGAGGGGGAGGGGGAGGAGGACGGTGGGGTGACATGGCAGTGGTATACCATCGGAAGCGGCGAGCACGAGTGGCGGTTCGAGACGGTGCCGAAGTCCACCCTCCCTCCCCACCATCCCTACCGCCGCACATACGACCCCCACAACCCGCCCATCCGCTACGGTGACTGCCTCTTCCCCTCATTCACGGCCTTTATGAAGTGGATGGTGTTGTCGGAGTGGTACAAACAAGAGGGGGTGGACGAGAAGCAGGTATTCGAGGCGACAGTGGGCCGTGGCGATGAGCGCTATCAGCGACTGCTGACCGGTCCCATCGAGGGCCACACCACCGTCGACTTCATCCACAGGGAGGGGAGGAATGAGCGGCTGCGATTCATCTTCCTCAAGGGCATGAAGGAGGGCGACACCGTCGCCGCCTATCTGTACCTGAGCGGCGGCCGCATCGTCCTCCTCTACACGACCGAAGCGGCCATCGAGGGCCAGACGCGGCTGTCTGACCGATTCCCCATCGCGATGTCATTGGCCCCCACCCTGCTAACGAAATACGGCCTCGCCCACATCATACCACAGTAGAGAACACACAGACAAGTGAGCCGCGGTGCGGAAGGGACATTCACATAGACACAAGATGCATGCCTTGAGTGCCCGGATGACATCTATACATGTACAGTACATGTCGTTTGTCGTCTGAGAATGAGTGGTCATGTGTGAATTACACTGACTTGCGGTAGGCGAGTTCACACATATCCATGCAATCAAACTGTGTCCGCCAATTCAGTACACACACATACAAACGCACTCACACCCACCCACCCCCCACAGAGCGCAGGCCAGCATCGCCACACTCACCACCAGAACAGATGACACAACGACGAGCGAATGGGTGGTGTGTCGGCTCACTTTGGCATGGCCGCACACACAAAGTCCCCAGCAATCAAAGAACCATGACAGACAGACAGACAGCGAGTGTTGAGAATTGGCTTAGCAATAGAAGGGAGAGGAAGTATGTGTCTCTCCGGCCTATAGAGAACGACTTTACGTACGACCCAAATCACAATACACCTGTGCGACGATAGAGTGATATATGCGCAAACATAGGCCCCCCGTGTGTGTGTGATGGATGTCATGTGGTATGAGGGGCTCGAGATCCGCTTGCTGACCACCACGCAATCAGACAGACAGACAGACAGAGAGACATCGGGTGTGTGCAGCATGAGTAAGGGTGTGTGTCCGTCTAGTGTGGCTCCATGCTCAGAAGCTTACTTGGTTTATTTGTTCGAGCCGGAGAACCAGCCGAAGATGCCGACGCCGCACGACTTCTTCGTTGATGCTGACCACCACCACAACACATCACATCCCATCACATTGCAGCACATCACAGCCGATCCCGTGTGGTCACTGACTTTTCTTCTTGGGTGCGATCATGTGTGCGAGCGGGGCCATCATGGGCGGCCGCATCATCATCACCATGGGAGGGCCGGCAGGGGCGGCGGGAGGCGGCGCGACCGGACGAGCAGCACCAGGAAAGGGCGGCGGGGGCGCCATCGGCATCTGCACACACACACACATCCAGACAGACAGATAGACAGACAGACGGGAAGAGACACAGCAACGTGTGCACAGGAGACACCTGCCTGTGTGTCTGCTGTGATCCACCAACAGCTCAGAGGAGTCATGGCGATGTTGTCGGCCTCTCCAGGAACGCCGAGTAAGAGACCGCCTCGGTGGGCACACAAGGATGAATACATGCAGGCCAATGAGACGGTTTATTTGGTCAACAACATGGCCCCATCACGACGGGAAAGAGCCACGCACAGAGGTGAGAAAAGAGGAAGGAAGGAGTGCACGAGTTGGTGGAAATCTGTGTGTGTTGGTGTGTGTGTTTCTTTAGTCAGTGCCTTTGCCATGGCCGGCGATCGACTTTCACTCGTTGGCTGGTTGGTTGGTTCATTCGCTCATTCGCTTCTTCGCCCCATCGACGTGTCTCTCCGCGTGTCTCGCCCAACCCACGCCAACCACACAACAAGGCATCTATTTGTCAGAAGAGAGACGCTCTCTCTGGATCCCATCATTGCCTCGTGCTGCACGAGGCGCCGGGATTACAGGTTTCTGATGAGCTTCTTCGCATTCGAGCCGAGCCCCGGAATATTGTCGAGTATGAATTCGAACGAAGGGTCCATGCGGGACTGTTTTTTGGTGGGAGGCTGCAGGACATTGCCGACAATTGCCCGCAGGCCTCACGGCTCGTCGGTGGCGAGTGATGTTACCTTGAAGGACGACGCCTTCGACGGAGATGTCTTGGAGGTGGCAGAAAAGGTGGTGTTGTAAACCGCCTTGCAGCAGACACACCCCAAGTCAAAGAACCTGACAAGACAGATGCAAGTGATCAAACACGTGTCAGTCTATCATTGCGCGGGCACTCAGGCTCACTTTCCCTTGACCCTGTAGTAGAGCTCGCCATGCAAGCTGTTGAGTTCGGTCTCCAGTTTGGCGATCTCCTGTTCCTGCCCTTGGTCCTTCAGTCGATTGACCTTTTTGTTCAGTTTCTTGTAACTCTTGAACATGCTGATGGCCTCCTCCATCCCCTCATGCGTGCAGGGCAGCTGTTTCTGTGCGGGAAACATTGCGATAAAGTGTTCTTTGCTTTGGCGATGACGCCGTCCCTCGCGAACGCACCACTTCCTGGGCATCCGTGGTCAGCGTGGAGCCCCAAAGGCCGGAAGCGATCCTGCCTCCCATAGTGTCCTCGCAGGCGGCCTTGCTCATGCACTGCGCACACGTGAGACGTGCACACGTGATGCGTCCTGTGGCCCCATTGTTCAGTCAAGACCTGAAGGCCCGTTGAGCATTGCGAGGGTTGGCTCGGGAATAAGCATTGCATATTCTCAACTGCAGGACACGCAACACAGAGTGATTGATGAGTGAAGCCAGCCACAGACTAGAACGAGGCAACCTTACAGCAGTTCCAGGAAGACGTCAGCAGGGCCAGTAGGGCCGTGGAGTTGTCTCTGCCCGCAAGTCTTCCGGCTGCTTGAAGGGGCAACGTGGACAGTGCAACGCTCAAACAGATGACAAAGAACGACTGGACACGGGCAGCAGTCTGCATGGCTGCGAAACTCAGGCGGCAAACACAACTACAGCCGGAGACGCCACGAGACGCCCCCAGTTAAGCCCAGATGGCGAAGTTGGCCTTATGCAAGAACGACAGGACGAAACAGGGGACGGAGTAGCCGCACGGAAAAGTAAACTTGGACAGGAACCCACCCAGTCTCCCACGACGTGAGCCACGCAGGATGCCGGCGTGGCGCCTCTTTCCACTCTACAGCAGCGTCGGGCGCCAACAGCGCAACGAAACAAGTGAAAAAAAGACTAGGTACTGGAGTGTGGCGATGCTGAGACAGAATTGTGAACACGTTTCAGTCATTCGCAGTTCTCGTTGTGTGCGTTCACAACAGTGGATGTCTCTTCAACAAACATTCATCGGAAGAGACCATCGAATATAAAATGCAGGCAGCGATAACTGACATCCATCCTCGTTCCGTCTTCTTGTCTCTCATCTACGATGTCATCTCCATTGCGAGGCCAATGCGGTCTGTCTCTCTGTGGACCAATCGCAAGAGACATCAGTTGATCATTCAGGTGTCTCTTGTGTCTGCCTTGTCGTTCTCACGTCTGTTGCACGACGGTTATCCAACCCACCACACCACGACCGGCCAATCGAGTGTCTCTTTGAAAGTCAGTCGGGTCCTCCTCACCCCTCCTCACTAAAGTGATGTCCTCCTCACCCCTTCTCTCTGGATGGATGAATGGATGTGTTGTGTTGCATCGCACCTACTCATCCTCCTCCGCTGCGGATGGTATCCTCCTTGAGGAAGGTGAGGTTGAGCGATTCTCTGCACGCACATACATGAAGAAGCAGATGACAGCCGGTGGAACAGACAGATTGTGTCCTTGCCGGAAAGTGCTAGCTTGGCACTTCCCGGAGGAGCCAGGTGAGCTGATCATCGCGGCCTGCATCCATTCCAGGTCTTCCGACAGATGCACTTGCACGCACACAACCTGACAGCATGGTGAGGGAGCATAGGCACACAGGCAAACAGAGATATGGATAACGGCATCAGAAGCTGACCTCATGACCTCAGCTATCTCTGGTGTGGGGAAAGGCCTCTTATCACCGCAACACAAAAGTGGAACTTGTCACCAATCCACCCACTGGCTCTTCTCGCTGAACGGCCAGCCCCCGGGGCGACCCTTCCGCCCGAGCACAGACGCGCGTCACTCACTGACCGACGGCCAGCCGACGCCCACATCTACGGCACTCTGAACTCGTGACGCTCTCTTTGGGGGGCGCTCGGGCAGCAGCAGCACAACGACGCCAGCGTCTGCCAGATCGATGGTTTCTCTCTCTCGGGCGGGGCCCCATCGGTCTGCAGCGAATGGCAGGAGGCCGCAGGACAGCAAAGAGATAAGGAAGCAGGTAAGAGACACGTTGTCTGTCTGTCTGTCTGTCTCACCATGTCTCGCCATTGTCACGGTGGCTGCTTCGTTGGCAGTGTGGTCATCCTCCTCGTGGGTGCCTTCGCTGATGGCCTCCCAGGCCCTCAGCGGGTCGTTCTTGTACGCCTTGTGAGCCCGGATTGGTTTGAATGACTTTCCGATGAGGGCCGCCTCCATCTTGAAAGCCTTCTCGTCAACGCGGCTGAAAGGCACCGCCTGCATTGCAAACCGACACAGCAGCAGACAGCAGATGAGGCCGATCTTCATTTGCCGTCCACTGCATGCCCCCTGGCCATGGCTCTCCTTCCCGTCGGCATGCATCTCACCTTCCTCCTCAACTCGTCTCTGACAATGCTGTGGCGCACTCTCTCTCTTTCCCCTCGCAACTCCTGGCGGCGCTTTTCTCGTCAACTCGGTTGAAGGGCATCGCCTGGATTGAAAACCGACACAGCAGCAGGCGGCAGAGACAGTATATCTTGATTGAAGTGCATGCTATGCTCCCTGGCCTGGCTTCTCATCCTCTCGGATCCGTCACCTTCATCCTGAGCTCGTCTCTGATGATGCTGTGATGCCAGGTCGCATGCGTCCCATCTGTCGTGGCTCTGAGGAGGCCAAGTTGTCGCTCATTCTCTCTTGTTGCCACGGATCGAGCCGTTTCCCTGTTCTTCCCAGCTCTCCCGTCTCGTCAATGGGTCGCCATTGCAATGCGCCCACCCCCCTCGTCGAAGCGTCTGCGGCGGGACGCCACGTCTCTAACGTCTTGTCCACTCGGCTGGCGCCTTGGAGGGGCACTCCTCTGCTCATGATGAGACTCGCCTGCAATGAGCGAAAGACAGACAATGAGACGCATCGAGATCTCACAAGAATCAGCTCACAATAGCAAAGCCTTGCTGTCTTCTGGCGTCGCGCCGGGATGGCAAGTCGGTTCCTCTCGCTTGGCGCCTTTCATGACCTGTCGTCTGCCCCGCGCAGGCAGCACGGATAGAGATCAGATCGACTTGTGCTTACAGGAGATCACGATGTGTCTCTCTAAGCCGACGACGGGCATCAGGCTGCACGCGAGCAACGTGGAATGGGTGCTAGGGGCCAGGCAGATATAAAATGTACACAGCGATGAGTGAGGCCTGCTAACACACAAATCGAGGTAGGATGTGCACATCAAGCGACTCAGTGAGAAGTTGCCAGCTTTTGCCTCTTACCTTCCCCCTTCTCCGAGGCCTCTGGCCAGGAGCTTCCTGTCTTTTCCCTCTTCTCTTCCAGGGCTTGCTGCTCTGCATCAATCGAGAGTCTCTCTCTCCAGCACTTGGGTCTTCTCCCCGCCTCTCCTCGCTGAATGGATGTCTTGTGCGTTGCCCCCACTGGTCGGCTGTGCGGTGCGCCACCAAGGCGGTCGGGACCGCACGCCTGCAGGGATGACAACCACCCGCAGTCTGCTGAGAGGTGCGCAGCATCAGAATATAAGTGGTCTGTTTACCTCCGCAGCGACACGCAACATCATTCAAAGAGGAGAGGTGGCGGAGCCCTCACCCCCACCCCCACGCACAATTATCTCATTCTCATGGAGTGGGGAGGCCGGGCAGCAACAGCAAAAGAAGGCCGCGATGGCCTCCCACAGAGTCGGCTTCTTCCTCGCCTGTAGCACACAAAGAGACACATCCACGGGTGGGTGAAGAGCCAAAGCATTGCTTTCCCTACCGCCGCCTCGGCTCTGGCCTCGGCCTCCTGGCCTTTTTCTCCGCTGCCGCCAAGGCCCGCCTATCCAGACGTACAGGCGCAGAGGCATTCGCACAAGGTACGGCACTCCTGTCTGTCCCCCACTCACTTCTTCCCCCAATATTGGCCTTCAATGGCGTCCAGTGTGGCATCCTTGCCGGCACTGCCGCCGTCCTTCTAAGCAATGGTCGCCTTGAGGTCAGCAATGGTCTCTTCCAGGGCCTGCATGGCAGACAGACAGAGAGAGATGGCTGATCGATGTGATATGTTCAGTCAGTGGCGCTTACCCGGTAGACGGGCTCCGGCGTTTCGGGGACCACCCTCATGGCCACACTGATGCCAGCCTGTCACCGCAAGAACGTTACATAGATGGTTGCACAGAAGCGGTGGTGTCTCTCCGCTGTGTGATGCTCACTGTCTTTGGCTTGGGTTGTCCGGGCGGGGCAAGGTCCTCCCTCGCAGCGCCACGCGACAGAGGTCTGATGGCGGCAGCGGCAGCACTGGGGATCTAGACGTGGCGGACCGTCCACACCACATACACGCACACACAGACCCAGTGCAGACTTGATATGGATGTGTCTCCCTCCATCAGACTGAGTGCTTTACCCCTGCCGACATCCTGCTGGATGCCCGAGACTCATGGCGGCTACGGACGACGAACAAGGCAGTGCGCCTCAGCTGGCGTCTCCTCGTTGTCCTCCTGCCCCCTGCCGCCGCCACTCCTGACGAACTCGACCTGCCGCTCTGGATCCTGGCATGGCTGCTGCTGCTGGTGCCGGGGGCTGCAGCTCGTCGTCATCGTCTAATGCGATGGGCACGTCTCGGTTGTCCTGCTGTTGCTTCTTGGCCGCATTGTAAGCCTCCTCGTCCCCAAACACCACAATGGAGTCCTGAATGGAGCAGAATAAGCGCACAAAAGTCGCTGGTCGCGTGATGTGCGGTGTGTCATATGTGAGAGCGCACCTTGTTCACCCTTTCTGCGGTGTCCCTCACAGTCATTACGCGGTGGTTGCGGTTGTTGGCCATGATGGAGTCGCCGTCGGCCCAATATCCGTCTCGCAGCGGCTTGAAGGTGAGCAGGTGTAAAATAGTCTCTTGGAAAGGAGCCACCGCGACGTCCTCACGCAACATGATACCCATCACCGCCCCCGCCCTCTCCTCATTCATGTCCGTCAGTAGACCGATCTTCGAATCCAGGGCATTGTCGTCACCCTTCACCTTCACACACACACACACATACATACACACACACACACACACAACGAAGGAGCCATACAGATATCACCATATCGCTCTCCCTCCCCTTGCTCACCCCCGCGAGTGAGATGGTAGGTCTCGACCCTTTCGCCCTCCTCTCGCCCTCTCTCACGCCCGGCTCCTTGTTGTCTCTCTGTTTGTTGCTGGTGAACCGGCCGACGTCTCCCAGGCACAATCTGTGCCAGTCCTCCTCCCGAAGCACCCCAGCGGCCGTGAAGGCGTCGCTGGTGGTCCTCTTGAAATGCGCCTTCTCCTGCGGCAAGGCAGGGTACTGAAGCGCCATGTTGCAGGCATGAATGCCACAGTCCTGAGCGTAGGACCCATCTTTCGGGTCCAACCTCTGGTCGCTGAACTTGAGCGACGCTAGTGGAAGACCGTTCACCCCAAAGTAGAGCCGCTGGCCGAGGCTGTCCTTCCCCCCTCCTCCTCCCACCAGCAGTCCGCCGTATTGTTGTGCCGGCTTGTCTCATAGAGCTGCTGCAACGACATGGGAGGGCCTGTAGCACACATCCACACACGCGCGCAACACGCATACACGACACACCAATGGACAGCGTCATTCATTCGTAAGGGTGCCGGTTGTCCCTCTCCTTACCATGTTGTGCAAGTGCTCCCGCTGCAGCCGCGGCAGTGGGGTGGTGACGCTGGCATAACAGTTTACGGCATTTCGGACGGGGTGGTGGTGACATGAGAGCTGCATTGTACAGACCAAGGGCAACGACATATAGGTAGATTGCCGTGTGGGCGCGGCACAGCGTCTACCAACCGTACTGTCTTGTGTGTATGTGGACGGGTCACAGTAGAGCAAGACTGACCGAGCAATGCAAACGTCAGCAACAATAGGGTCTGTAAAGCAGCACACCCAGAAAGACAGGATACATGATGGCTTACTCTCGCACCCGGCTGACCTGGCAGGGAATGTGCCACTCGCCGAAAAGGATACACCGGCCATATCGATGACTGCAGAAGAAGACAGCACACACAACAGCACACTCCTTACCAGACGAGTATAGTCATGACGTGCATCTTACCAGACTAGCACCAGGCAGCATGTGAGTAGAGCGAAAAGGTCGGACAGATATAAAATGTAGACAACGATGGATGAGGGCTGCACACACACACAGGAACAAAGCCGCGTGGGGAAACGATTAATTGAGGACTCGGCGACTCTTTGTTCTTACCATTTTTCCTTACCTTTCCCTCAGGCGGTCGGGCCGTCCTGAGTCCAGCCGATGATCGGCCAGCCCCCAGGCGACCCTCCCACCCGAGCACCACACGGCAGGGCCAACTTTGGGTGCGCAACGACACACACAGATCACTTAGTGGGGAGAGGGGATGAAGCCCTCAGCCCCCCCCCACCCCCACGCACAACTATCTCATCTTCCTGAACTGGGGTGGACGGCCACCAGCAGCAGCATGCACTCATGACATTCCTGTACAGGCTGGCAAAAAAGCCTGGCTTCGACTGCTATGATGGCAAGACACACACACAGAGAGAGAGAGGGAGAGAAGGAGGAAGGGAGGGAGGGAAGGAGGGAGGGACGGAGGGAGGGAGGGCACGACGGTCAACTCATCTAAGGCACCTCTTCAAAGGACTTGTGTGAAAGCTTACCGTGTTGGTTTGGGCGGCCTTGTTGAGGGTAGGTCGCTGCGGCTCCTACAAGGCAATAGCAACAGACACCAGGTGCGAGTGACCGCAGGCAGCTCGCCAGGGGCTCAAGATGTGGCGGGAGGGGTTAGTCAAGATTATGTCCTACCTTCTCAGCCTGGGTGGCCTTGTCGTTCTTCTCCTTGGTGTCGGCCTGCTTTTTTCTGATGGTGGGCAAAGGAAATAGGCAGGTGTGGGTGTGTGTGCATGATGTCTCATGCATGTGCGTCAGTGTACTTGTTGGCCAGGTGCTGCTCCAATTTCTGATCGGGCAGGAAACAGGGATTGAGGGAGACATGGGACTCATGAATCGGGCCTCACCTTGTGGATGCCGTCTATTCGTGTGGTGACCTCCTTCAGACCGCCTGCCATGCTCATCTGCAAAGTGAACAAGATTCGATGAGTCCCCCATTTAATTATGGTGATGTCTCCCTGTCTGTCTCTCTCCTCGATACCCACCCTCCGGCCGCTTCCTACGGGGGTTGGCATCCTCCTTCTGGCCCCTGCAGAAGGACGCCTGAAGACGACGGCACTGCTCGCAGCAGCAGCAGCAGCAGCAGCAGCAACGGGCCCCCCAACCTGCCGGACAGTCGGCACGCAGACGCGCAAGACTCAGGGTAATACACATCCACACATGAGTCTCTTTCCTCGTTACCTTGGTGGTCACCATGTCCGTGTCAAACACTGCCTCGTCCACATGCAGCCAGCCCGTGGCGCCGCCAGCAGCGGCAGCGGCAGCAGGCTCCTCGAAAACCGTCTGCATCACACACACGAGACTCAGCAAGGACCCAGGAGAACAGAACTGGCTCTCTCCCGCACTGGCAACATGGTCGCCTGTGTCAGCGTCTCCCTTGCAGTGTTGAACGTGCCACCGCTCTCCCTCTCCCCTCGGGCCCTCCCCTCCCACCGACGTCCCAGGCTCTGGTTGACGCGGCCGCACGCTTCGATGCACGCTCGGATCTGCTGGGGGACGTCGGCGGCGTGCGGTTGGGGTACCCCCATTCCACTTCCACTCGGCCGGCTCGCTGCTCACACACAGACACACAAGACAGACACAGAGGGACAGTGAGAGAGACAGACAGTCGGCGCAGCCTTCTCCCTCCAGTATCCCTCAGAGTCTCTCGTCACTTGAAGCCTTGCCTTTCCTTTGGTCGGTAGGCGGGGCCCTGCATCCTGATCAGATCTGCACTGAACGTGCTCATCTGCAAAGAGAACAAGGTTAGGTGGGTCCCCCCACTTAGTTACGGCAGTGTTTCTCTATCTTTCTCCTCAGTACTCATCCTCGTGGCGCGCCCTGACGGTGTGTGGTCCTCTTTCTTGGCTATGGTGGTGGTGGGGCGAGCAAAATCTCGCCGGGGCAAAAAGATCTCAAGGAACGCCACCATTGGATCTCCCTTACCTGTTGGCGCACTTGCCGGTTGCGGGAAAGGCCCTCCTGGAAGCGGTGCCGGAGGGGCTGGAAGCGGTGCCGAAGGGTGAAAGCGGTGCGACGCTTCTAGCTCCTCTGCTTCCAGCCGCCCCGCTGCTAGATGACCTGCGGCAACAGCGAGAAATGTTGTACGAAATCCGCCTGAAGCACGACCCGATCCTCTCTTGCACATTGCTGTCCATCACTCTCGAAAGGACGAACGTGACGATTTCGCTGTAACCGATGCCGATGTACTTCTTTGCAGAGCTTCCCCATGAGTCAAAAGTTGACCACCCGTTGTGCGCGTCGAAGATCCAGAAGAGAACTCCACTGACTCCTCCGATCAAACAGATCTCTTCTCTCCCTCACGCTCGTCAGCTGCAGCCTGCGACCGCGCTGATCCAGACAACCAACTCTTTGAGGAGTCTCCTCAAGCCGAACCACTGTATTAGCAGGAAAATGAACCAGCCAATCATGAATGTGCTTCGAATAGGATCCTTCTCCCCCTCCTTCGGTAACGAAGGACCAGAACAGCTTTGCGGGGAGCCGCGCGGCTGCCTGGACCGCATATGCAGCACACACACATACTGGGGGTTTCACATGTATCATTGATACAGTGTTTCATCCCTCACCAGTGTGCCTTTGGGTCGATGTTCGTCTTCCAATGCGGCCTTGGTGTCCGGGCGGTTGAAGGCAGCCGCCGTCTCTAGGGCATCCAAGAGCAACATCTTCTCTCCCCTGTGAACGACAGACAGCAATCCATGTGCATCCTTCAAGTTCTTCCTCATTAAGTCTTGCAGCCGAAGGAGGCAAAAGGACGTAGGAAGGGAACGAAGGAGGGGCAGGAAGGAGGGGCAGAGGTGTAGGAGTAGTGAAGCAGTCAGGGAAAAGCGTCAGTGGTTTTGGTTCGGGAAAAAAGGGGAGAGGAGGGCTCTGTCCCAAATTCTCGACACTTTTTGGAGATGGGGGCCCCCACGTCTCGAAGTCTCGCCGAAAGCAATGATGCTTATCGTGCTTGCTGCCCTCGCATTCATCGCCTCGCAGGGCGCAGCTACAACGATAGCTGCGCACAACCACAGCGAGGAGGTCAGCGAGGCGTTGGCAATGCCTCCTGTCCCGACGACTCTTCTGGGTACAAAGAGACGACCGGTGGTACCAATTGATGCATTCGCAATGGCCTTCGTTACATGAATGCTGTCTTCAGCTTGCCATGCACCGTACCATCCCCTGCCTGAGCCTATCTATGACGTACTGCCAGACCTGGAATACACCAAGTATCTGCCGGTCACAGTGAAAGCCAGAGCCGGACGACTCTCTCTAAATGCGGACTTCAGCGACCGCCGAGCAGTCTCCGATTGGTTGGTCCTTTGTGGGTCGTCCTGCAGTCTCCAGGCTTTTTGTGTCTGCTCGTGTTTTACTTTAATTTCAGGTGGTCGCGCTATGACAGACTTGTCGCATTCATCGACTACGGGCGAGCTCCTCGCAAGCTTGAGAAGTACATGGGAGACAAGGAGATGGTCCAGTTCGAGCTCCCTGATCACAATACCGTCGACGAGAGCAAGGACTTCGGGATTCGTTGGGGAGACCTCATGCACTTCCCGATGCCCCACTTCTGGCAGCTTGACTTGACATCTCAAGAGCAGGTGAGACACGAGTGACTGTCATGTGTGGTGTGGTGTCTCCATCATTTGTCTTCGAGGACATTCCTGGTCTCAGATGGATTCAGCGCACAAGAACTTGCGGCTTCCCTACAAACACTTCGAGCGCGTGGTGCTTGTCTTATGCCCGTACTCAGGTAGGGGGCCAAAAGGCACACCGAGACTGTTTGTTTGATGCGTGTGATCTGCCTCAGTTTTTCTGTACGCTCCCGAGTTGCTTGGAGAAGTACCAGAGTATATTCCTGGAATGCCAGACCCAGAATTGCTGCGAGCACTGAAAGTTACCGACAAGCAAGCTGCTGAGTGGCAATCCAAGCTGAAGGCTGTCTCATCATTTTGGTCCAACCTCCGATCTCTCATCGCTCCGGGTGGCAGGGTCGTCATCAATAGCCTGCCTGTAAGCAGTATAGACCGAGACACGACGTATTCACTGCTGTGAGCAATCGGTCGTGTTCGTTTTCAGTATACGGCATTTGGAGGCAAAGCGTGCTACTGTGGTGACCCCTCCAATCACCTTTACGCATACCTCGGCAGCAACGCTCCATACAGGAGCTGCAAGCATCACAATCGCCTCGACACGGACATCTGCTGGGGGAACGACGCGCTGCGCGAGCCCTTTGACCACGCCATCGCCCTCTTCGAAGCAGAGGGATTCGAGCTCGTCGGGCCTCAGTTCGATCAGGGTATGTAGACATACGTGTTCATCTGACTTGTGATTATGCATTTTCCCGCTGTGGCGTGATCAGGGGAGTTGGGCATCGCCCTTAAGCGAGTTGAGAGCCAGACGGCATTCAATGAGACTGCCAGCAACACCGATCGGCGTAAAAGGAAGCGCGCCCCATCAAGCGAAGAAGACCTTTCGAAGCAGAGGAAGCTGCACTAGCAAGGTAGATACGTAACTGGCATTCTACGCGCCCCTTTTTCGTTTCCGTTGTGCCCACAACAGCGACGCGATTTCTTTTGTCACACTAAGAGACACGACGCGTGACACTGGATTCAAGCTAAATAGAGCTCGCATAGACCAGACACCGAACAATAGCAACAGGCCACCCCACATTTGGCTCTTTTCCGCTGAGGCCAGGATTGGGCTAAGAGACACGCAGATCATGCACACGATGTGTTGTACACAAACAAAAGCGAAATCGCGACACACATAAAACTCCACTGCGCTGCTTCCACCCATCCAAAATAGCCATTAAACATTCGTGGACATGTGGGAGAGACACGTAGCCAGCCAGATTGACTTTATAGCTAATTGCATTACACTTACCCAAAGGCGAAGGCGTGTGCTTCATGTGTGGTTCTGTGTGCATGTCTCGTCTGTCCGGCTGCCTATCTGTCTGTCTCTAGTCTGTCTGTCATGCTGTCTGTCTGTCTGTCTGTCTGTCTTTTATCAATCGAGAGTATTTGGACAGGTAGCTAGACAGACAAGCGATGCATGAATGTGTGCAGACATGGAGTGCCGCAAGAGGAAAGAAGAAAGAAAGAACAAGAGGTGGGATGGAGAGAGACGCCAGCCGGCCAGGCGACTACAGCCGACACACATGTCCCCCGCCCCTACTCGTGTGTGTCCGTGTATGTGCGTACACACGTGTTTCATGCTTCGTGTGTTGATGGGGATGGAATGTTGGAAATACATTAACTCATAGCGCAACGCCAGGCAGAGTCAATCGACCAACCTCTCAATCACGCGACAAGCATACCAGCACCATCATCAGCGCCGCCCGCCACGCACACACACGTGGGGATCCCTATCAACACGCTGACAAATTGCCCCTTCGGGGGGCTTGCTGGGGGCCCCCAGTCTCAGCAGGTGCTGAGACGTGTCACCAATTGGTCTTGGCCGAAAGCAATGATGCTTATCGTGCTCGTTGCCCTCGCATTCATCTCCTCGCAGGGCGCAGCTACAACGATAGCTGCGCGCAACCACAGCGAGGAGGTCAGCGAGGCAGAGAGCGACGCCGTTTGCCACCTGCTTCAACCCCATTTGCAAGGCAAGGATCCTGTCCCGACGACTCTTCTGGGTACTAAGGGACGACCAATCGATGCATTTGCAATGGCCTTCGCGCTGTATGTTGCTATCTTCAGCTTGCCATGCACCGTACCATCCCCTGCCTGAGCCTATCTATGACGTCAATCCAGCCCTGGAGAAGTACCCCCTTGATTTCCTACCTCCAAGCCTCAGGACTGAGTTTGAAAACCAGGCGGACGGATGGTCGGTGACGTTTGCCGTCCTCACTGTGTATCACGGTGCCAACTCTGTGCTCATGTGCTGTCTCCACTGAAAATCAGGATGATGAGTCTTGACGAGAAAGTTGCTTTCATTGACATCGCTACTGGACCAGACGATGTCATGCCCCGCAAGCTGAAGGAATACATGAAAGACAAGCCAGCGGTCCAGTATGAGCTGCCAGACCACACCACTGTCGAACGCGACGAAAGAGACGAATACGACGACAGAAACGGAAAATGGCTGTGGCGATACACTGCTAGCTATTATCCTATGCCCCATTTCTGGCAGGTTGACTTGGTATCTCACCGGCAGGTGAGAGAGGTATCTCACCGGCAGGTGAGAGAGACGTGTGTTTCCCACGGACATCGTTCCCACAATACACGCATGTCTCTCCCCAGGTGAAAGCAGCCCACAACAATCTGGGGCTTCCCGCGAACCACTTCACAAGAGTCATTCTCGTCCATTGTCCAACCGGCAGTAAGACAATGACCTACAAACGGAGGTGGTCTGATGAGTACATGCTGTCTGCTGTAGTCTTCCTGTACGCTCCCGACTTGCCTGGAGAAGTAGAGAACTACGAGTACAGACCTGATCGACCAGATCCGGAACTGCTGCGAGCGGTAATTGAGCAACAGAGAGCAATAAAGGGACAGCCACACAGCATTGTTTGAGCCTCCTTGACAGCTCAAAGTCAGCTACGAGGATGCTGCCAAGTGGGGATCAAAACTGAGGCCTATTCGGTTATTCTGGAACAACCTCCGATCTCTCATCGCTCCGGGTGGCAAGGTCGTCATCGATAGCCTGCCTGTGAGCAATACAGATGGAGACACGACGTATTCGCTGCTGTGAGCAATCCGGTCTGTCTGTTCTCCAGGGCTCTGTGTTTGCAGGCAAGGCGTGCGATTGCAGTGACCCCTCCACTAACCCCTACGCACGCTTCGGCAGCAACGCTCCACACAGGAGCTGCAAGCGTCATGAGCGCCTTCACACGGACATCTGCTGGGGAAACGACGCGCTGCGTGAGCCCTTTGACCGTGCCATCGGAGTGTTTGAATCGATGGACTTCGATCTCGTCGGCCCTCAGTTCGACCAAGGTATGTTGTACATATACACCATATCTAACAGACAAACTGCTTTGGTCCCCTTGGCATATTCAGGAGAGCTTGGCATCGTCCTTCAGCCGATCCAGAGAAAGACGGCCGTCCAGCAGGTCGAGGAGAAGTCGCCCAAGCGGGCTGAGAAGCGCGCCGCCTCAAGCGAGAGCGAAGTCTCGAAGCAGAGGAAGCTTGAGCACTAGCCACAATCCGATTCGTCAACAAAGCATTCCAGCAAAGCCATGTTCGAGCCAGCCCGCCAGCCTCCCTCTTCCTTTGTGTCTTCTATGCGCACAGTGGGCGAGTGAGGAAGAGGCTCAACAGATGGATGACTGAAGAGAAGACCTTGTACGACTGAGAGACACGACACATGACCCTTCTGAATGCAACAATACTACTGACCAAACAAAGAGTACCCGTCAAAGTTAGCACACCTGCCCGTATTGCAGTGATATCCTGGACAGCAAGGGCGACACAGGAGGACACGATGAGAGACACAGTCACAAGGTGTCTCTCTCAGTGAGGCGGACCGATATGGATGTATGGTTCTGACCGTCATTTGTTCGCTGCTGCCTAGCCGCCTTGATGGATAAGCGCATGCTGGGGCAGATACACACATCATTGAATGGCACGGCGTTGTTTCAAGCGACAAGAGCTTTTTGACATGCGATTCTGTGCTCTTCGTTTGTATGCGTACTCAGCACCCCAATCAGTGCAATGAGGGTCACATAATGCGTATTCAAACGCCCACAGCGTCGCATCTCCCCCCCTCTCCCTCTCTCACTCTCACACACACATAATATCGACAAAGTGTCACCTCTGCACAACGAATTAGCCACGGAACCTATCAGCTCTTTTGGACAAGTCCCTCACCCACTCACAACTGACCCCCTGATCCACCAGCCAGTGAAACTCAGTCGATGTCCAATGACTCGAAATCTCCATCCTCGTCGATGTATCCCAGCTGCTCCCACTGGAACGGGCTGTCGCCAGCACCGAAATGGGTGTTGAAGCCCTTGTTGATGGCCCCCTCCTGTATGCCGTGCTGCGCCGCCTCGTCGAGCCGAGCCCTGTGGACCACCTCACAGAGCCCCAGAAGCCTGTGGCCGCCATGCTGCCCTCCATTGATAGCAAAGCACAGCGGGGGCACCGTCACGCCGCCCAGATTGGCCATCCCGCCCACAACCTCCCTACTGCTGATCGCGTACATCGCCGCGTCGACGAAGTGCGCCGCCGCTGCCGTCACGCGACGGGCGAGTGTGCTGTTGCGGAATGGTAGTGAATGACTGATGGTCGTCAGAGCAGCGTCCCAGTCGAAGCACATGGCGGCGATCTTCCAGCCGATGGCCTCTGCCTCGTGTGGGCCGTAGCCAGGGGGGGCGGGGAGGGGGGGCGGATTGGCAGGAGGGGTGCCAGTGTGAGGGGGCTCCATCAGGTGGGGCAGGAGTGTGGGGAGGGACTTCATGAGGAACGCCGCGAGGCTGCGTTGAGGCCGCAGCGCCGCATTCACCGCCGCCATCGCCGCAGTAGGCACCTCGTTGAGCACCGCCGCATACTGCGGTAGCACCAGCTGACGATGAACATGCATGCGGCCCTCCATGCGGCCGATATCCGCCCCGGCCCTCAGCAAGCTGCGGATCGTCGCCTCTTGAGTGGAAATCCGTGCCGAAAAGTACTCCTTGGTTTCTTCACGGTCCCTGACCTCTTGCGGCAGGTCGTTGTCTTGCGAGTCCTCAATCGCCGCGTTGAGCTGTCCCGCGGCCACAGCGAGTGGGGGACCATCGCCGCGGCCGCCCTCTCTGTCGATGGTCCCTGGTGGCAAGTGGCGGCTCAGGTAGTCCACGACACACGGAGAGCCTTCCAATGCCGCATCCTGCAAGGGCGTCCACCAATTCTGGGGCTCTAGCGTCAAGCTGGCCCCATGCTGCACCAGCAGGTCCAGGTATGAATCGATAAACGCCTGGGAATAGTGCCCACACTCAAGGCGGGCTGCCAAGTGGATCGGATTGAGGCCGAGGACGTCTTGTTCGGTTGCAACTGTGGCGTCGTGCTGGATGAGAAGGCGGTAGATGGACATCAGCCGCTGCTCATACTCGCGGGACACCTGATGCCCGAGATGTGCGAATGTCATGGGCGTGGGCAGAGGCATGACGTAAGGGGGCCAATATCCATCAGGATCGCGGCCTTTCACCGCAGCGTTGCGCGCCAAGAGGATCGTCACAGCCGCCTCATTGCCTGCACGGATTGCCATCTCGATGGGCCTTGTATACAGAGACCATCTTGTGACCGTCGCATCAACATCAGCACCGCCGTCGATGAGAGCCTCCATGACGGCCGTCTGCAGCTCAGCAGATGACCACAACGGCAGGGCGACAGGGCGAACGCGGTCACGATGGTTGCTGTCTTTGCGGTCTCGCGCCCAGACGGTCGGCATCGTGTCATCGCTCAGGTTGTCAAAGGTAAGCGACAGCAGCCGATACGCCAGGCCGATGGTGCCGCTGCCTCGAGCCCGCAGCCACAGCGCAGCGTTCGGATCAGCGCCACGCTGCTGTATCAGCTGCGTCACTTGCTGCTGGTGGGTGAAGGTGCGGCGGACGACACCCTGAACGAGCTGTTTTGTCGCATCGCTGTTGTCGGGAAAGGGCTCGATGCAGATGTCCTCGAGCCTCAGAGATGGAGCCATCCCTCACTCACGGCCGCCGTGGCTCTCTGGGACCACACTGTCACACCAGCAGCACAAACACAAACAGCAGAATCACATGTCTAAAATCAAGGCAGCGTCGCGTGTGCGTCCTCCTTTATCTCAATGCGCACCTTCTGATGTGTGCGATGTGTTGTGTCTGTCTGTGGGACGGAGATCTGCCTGAAGAGAGGGACACGACAGCGGCAAAACTTCTGCGTGCTTCTCTCGCAGATCTCCCGGTCGAAATGATGCGCTTCGTCGTGTTTCAGGAGTTTCCGCATGTGTGAGGGCATCAGGCGCACTCAGCAGAAGCTGTCGGCACCATAGCTGCGAATAGATCTGCAGGTGATGACGACAGGCACACGATGCGACGCTCGCTGATGAGTTTGGACTGTGCTTGGCGTGCAGCAGGCATGGTGGAGAGCACAGATCTGCTGTCTGTCAAGGTGAGAGAAAGAGATGAGACCATGATGCGTATGGATCCAATGCACGGGGCTTCCCGGGCTTTTCGCGTGTGCAGTGGATCTTCCCTCCCACTGCTGCGAAGCTCCTTCGACTCGGTATGGCCACACATGTGTGTGATGAGGGGCGGGTGGATGGATGGGAGGGCTGGCGTGGTTGTGTAGCCATCCGCACGTTGGGTGAGCTCGAGGATGCGCTCAAGACACAGCCCGACCTGCTCAATCACTCCGAAAAGGCCAGCACATGGCAGGAAGGGGAAAGACCATTCATGTCTAGGCATCTGTCTTTCTGCCTGCCTGCCTGCCTGCCTGTGTGTGTGTGTTCAGATATGGCTGAAGTATCACCCCACCACTACCACCACCACCACCACGAGCATCCAATGCGCTGTCCTTCTGCAGCACTTCCGATTGGTCAGCGGCGTTATCGAGGCCATGTTCCCCGGTGTATATGAGGTGGTGTGTGCGGGCTCCTACCGTCGGATGAAGGACACCTGCGGGGACGTGGACATTCTCGTCACACCCAAGGCAAGGCGAGCAAACACAGCTTGGTCGCGTGATGTGATTTGTTGTTGATGTATACGTGTGTGTGTGTGTGTGTGCAGGACGATCGTGAGATCGGCAGTGAGGTGGAGAAGCTCGTCAATCGGTGCGTCAGAGAGAGAGCGATATATGACGGCATGTGTGTGTGTGTGTGTGTGTGTGGTGTGTCGACAGGCTGCAATCTGATGGGTATTTGGTGGACGTCATCGGACAGACGAAAGCCAATAGGGACGGCACGGTAGGTGCCCGCCCGCCCGCATCTTTGTGAGGCTGTGTGTGTGGCGCTGTGTGTGTGTGTGTGTGCAGCTAGTCAGCCCGCACGCCGTCTACGGCATCGGTCGTCTGCCGGGCTATCCCACACACCGACGCGTCGACATCATTGTGAGCCCCCAATCACACACACACACACACACACACACACACGTGTGCATCAGTCAATGGGCTCCTGTGTGTGGTGGTCAGTTCCAGGGTCGCAGCGAGAGGGTGCATGGCCTGCAGTACTTCACAGGTCGGCACACACACACACGGGGAGAGCACCGCATCCGTCTGGACTCACCGCATGACGGACGTGTGTGAATTCCCTCTGTGCTGTGCTGTGCTGTGCTGTGCTGTGCAGGCTCGGCTGACTTCAATGACACCCTCCGCATCTACGCCAGACGACACGTGAGAAACGTCCCGCAGATGGATGCGATGCCGTCTCTGTCTGTGCCCCTCATGTGTGTCTTCATCAGGGCTACAATTTGATGGATCAGGGGCTAGCGCGTGTGCTGGAGGACGGACAGGCCAGCACCTCCCCCCCAGCCCTCACAGACACACACACACACACACACAGAGAGAGAGAGAGGGGTGACGTGACACTGTCTCCCATTACGTAATGCAGGCTGTGTGCTGCTGGGTATGGTGTGCAGGAAGTGGCCGTCGACCCGCCGTGTGTGACCGAGGAGGACATCTTCACCCGACTCGGGCTGCCCTACCGGTGAGCTGTGTGGTGGCCAACTCTCTCTCGTGTGTGCCCATACCAACCAACCAATTGGCGGCAGTTCCCCTGCTGACCGTGAAGCTGACGACACCTGGCTGGCCATCTGCCGACTCACCAAAGGTGCCAACGCCAGCCACCACACGACAGACACGCACAAGACACACCTACATGCCTGTTTGTCTGCCTGCCTGCAGGCGATCTCGATGCCGAGTGGCAGCCGGGGGGCGTGGGTGCTGCTGGTGGTGGCGGTGGCGGTGGTGGTGGTGTGTGGGATAACGTCTTCACGCAGACGTACACGCCGGGGCGTCGGGCGCACATCCGAGCGTGGCGCAAGATGACTGTGGACGAGAAGCTGAGGCGGATTGAGGAGTACGTCGAGAACAAGGGCGACGAGGGAGCGGCCAACGACGCCTCCGGTGAGCGTAAAATGGGTTGTGGGCGGTTGTGGGTGAGGCGTGGATATGGCCGGTTGCGTATGTGTGTGTGTGTGTGCAGATGTGTCGACTGATGGGTGACTGACGTCTAGAGATGTAGCTACGTGCCTATCGCACAGATGCGGCTCGTGGGTGGGGGCGAGGGGGGGTCTGCCTGCTTGTGTAGATATGTAATAGACAGACATCGTCTGTTCTTTTGGGGGACGGGGCGTGTGCATACTTACATATTTTGCGGTCAAATCACTCAACCAGCAATTGTTTGCATGGTCCAATAACACATGCAAACACGCACTGACGCCCCCACACCCATATGTTCAGTCACACCACACCTCGACAAGACACACCACACCGGGTGGGGCGCGTCAGGCATCCATCCACACACCCATACACACACACATACACACACATGTCAATCAGCCATCAACCATCGACGCACACGTCACACCGCCCCCCCCCCTCCCTCCCCTCCGCCTCAGTAGCTACCTCCGGTGCAATCCAATCACCTGACTCGCACACTCACTGTGTGTCGATCTGCATCATTCTATCCTCATCCTGGTGCTGCTGCTGTCCGTCGGGTGTGCGCGAGCGGATCTGCTCGCGGCACTGCAAAGCCTCCTGCAGGGCGGCCAACACACCCTGCACACACACACACACACACAGAGAGAGAGAGAGAGAGGGGTCCTCCTTGGTGTGTGCGTGTGGCTTTCTTTGTACGTTTTTGGTTGGCTGCTCGGGGGCGAACGAGTAACGGGGCGGCATCTCTTCGTCACCACCACTCATGGCGTTGCTACCTGCATCCATTCATCCATCCATCCATCCGTCCATCCATGGAACATAGGATCTTCATTGTGTCTTGTGTTGTGTTGTGTTGTGTTGTGTGCTCACTATTCTGCGCCGGCGCCATTATGGCCACTACGGAGAAGCATGACCCATCGCTGTCCCAGCTAAGCTCTGTGTCGTGTCCATAACATCCACCCATGGGCACCTCTTGCTCTCCTCACCCACCCACACACCTGTGTGTGGCTGCTGCTGCTGGTGGTGGTGGTGGTTGTGTGTGTGGTCTTCCTGGTCGACCTCGTGCAGCAGCTTGAGGAAATACGACGCCACCGAGGCCATCTCACCCCTGCAGCACACATCACACCACACCCACAGGCGCATATATGGGTGGGTGATCTGATCTCTTTGGGCGAAGTTCGTTCGTCCTCACTCTGTCAGTGTCAGTGGCTTGAGCGATGGCGCTGTGCACACACACGGACACACAGAGTCGCGTCCTTGCCCCTGGGAAGGAAGGTCTTTCGCGTATCGATCTGTCGTGTGTGTGTGTGTGTGTGTGTCTACCCTGGTCCTTGCCAATGCGGTCACAGGCGGAACCTTCACACACACACACACACACACAGACACAGGCCGGGAGGGTGTGTGAGTGGAGAAGCCAATATAATATGCGGCACTTGTACGTGTCGATTTGCGAGGCCTCTTTGGCTTGGTGGACGCGCCCTTCTGCCACACACACACACTCGTAGACATCACAGCACCACATAGCTATAAGTAGCGTATGGACCTTTTACCTGCTGTGCCTTCGGTTTGGAACCGCTCTTCTGCTTCTGCTTCTTCTTGGCGATGCCGCTCTTGCGCGCCACCGAACGCTCCCCACTGCACACACCCACGCATTGAGGCATGCAGTGTGGGTGTGGTGGTTTGTATGCGTGTGTGTGTGTGTGTGTGGCTACGTGAGCGTGGGTGGTTTGGCACAGTGTTCAGGCGGCGAGGGTGCTGGTGGCGGTGGCTCGCTGTCCGCTATCCGCTCACGCGCATCCTGCACTTCACCCTCGTAATCCAACTACACACACACACACACACATGGATGGATGGATGGATGGATGGACGAGTGTGTGTGCCTTTAGTATGGCCGCCTGTTCCCTCAGCTGCGCCGCGTTCCTCTCCAATATGCCCCTGCACACACAACACACGTGGGAGTGGGCCATGAGTGCAGCGCGTCTGTGATACGTACCCAGGAAGTGCTATGAGTGTCCGCTGCATCCTGCTGCGGAAGTTGCTGCGAGCCGCCTCTAATGCCACACGAACTATCGACGGCGAACACAGCTGACACACACAGACAGACACGTACGTGACACACACAAAGAGAGAGAATCCCACGAGAGTGTGCGTGTAGTCACGCTTACCTCGGCCATCTCTACGAGCTTCCGAATGGGCGCGTCGCGCGTCGTCACACCCACTATAGCCGAGACCCTGCCAGCCAGCGCCAGCCAGCCAGCCGCCACACAGGAAGGAGGAACATACAAGGATGTTTTCTGTCCCAGCTCGTGTGTGTCTGTGAGTGAGCGTGGCGTGCCTTTCTCTTGCGCCTGGGTGTGCCTGGAAGTAGTCTAGCAGCGATTGCTTGAGCGACGCCCGGCCACACTCGCCCAGCGGAGGGACCACCTGCCCTCACAGGCAACACACGCGCATCCATCCATCCATCCATCCATGTGGCGTCGCGTACCAGTTCGCCATTCTGTCTGAACACGTTGCGCACGGCATCATCATCATTATCATCATCCTGCTGCTGCTGCTCAACACACAGCACACAGCCAGCAACTCACAGCCCAACACATGGAGGGGTGCGAAGGTACTCACTGCAGCCATAATGAAGGGCGACTGTGGTGGTGGTCTTAATTAGCCTTCGCCACGGGCAGACGCTCCCTTCAGCACCTGCAGGGGACACAACCACCACACGCCGGAAAAAGACCGCTCCAACACGCCGGCTCTCTATCCATCTGCTCACTGTTGACCCTCCCTCTCTGTCCTGCCAATGCCCCACACACGCAGAATCTGAGATCTCACCGCTCACCGGTGCGTGAAGGATTTCCTCACTCATCCATCGGGGTTTCCGTCATCCTTGCGCAGTTCAGGGGCACACCACACTGCCCAAGACGCCACGATGCAGCGGAAAAGCCGAACGAACGCCTCCTCCTCTCTCTGGTCGACAAAAAGCTCGCATTCGTTGCCGAAGGAGAAGGGACGACACGACCGGCGTTGTGTGAGTGTTCGAGTGAGGGAGAGGGATGTCTTACGCCTACAATCTGTCAAGCGGCCCGCTGGGTCAGCCCCTGATAGATGCGGGTGACCGCCTGGCTGGCAAACAGCCACCCTATCAACAGCCACATCAGTACCAGCAGCAATATCAGTACCAACAGTATCAGCAGCAGCAGCTGCAGCAGCAGCCACCCCTCCCCCCGCCATCCGCCCCTGCCTCCCTCTCGGCACAGTCCCAGACGCCCGTGACGTCACCTCGTGTGCCGCCGTATGGTGGCGGTGGCGGTGATGATGTGGTGTGTGTGTCGCCGGACGACAGCCGGCTGATTCAGGAGAACATCCAGGCGCTCCAACGGAAGACCGCCGAGATATCAAAACTGGTCAGTGTGTGTGTGAGGGAGAGAGAGAGATGAGCTCACACACAGAGGAGGGAGGGGTGGATGTGTGTGTGGTTTTTGTGGTTGTGTGTGTGGTTTGGTTCAGTGCTCGCGAGCTGTGGCGCGGCATGAGCGCCCGGGGTTCCAGGCCAACCTGTAAGAAGACCAGACCTCTCTCCCACACACCGAGGGCAACAGACGAGTGTGTTGTGTGCGGTGCCTTGCGCGTGTGTGTGTGTCAGGCATTCCCTGCTGACCAGTGCCCAGCAGGTGGCCGTGGAGACGCAGACACTGCTGCGGAAATTCGCCGTCATATCGGGCGGCTCCCTCGCTGACAAAGTGAGTAGACCATTGACACTCACCGTTTGTGTGTCCCCATTGGTTTGCGTCTGTGCCTGTGCCTGTGCCTGTCTGTGCGTGTGTGTGCGTGTGCGTGTGTGTGTGTGTGTGTGTGTGTCACCCCATCAGACTCAGCGCAAGTTGGTGTACGCCAAGTTGAATGACAACTTTCACAAGGCGCTCAAAGCCCTTGAGAACGTCGCACAGACACATGTGCTCAGAGGTGAGGGCCAGAGGGAGGGAGGGAGGGAGGGAGGGAGGGGAGTGAGATGACTGACTGACCTCACCCATCCTTCGATCCATGTGTGTGTGTGTGTCAGAGCACCTGACCCTGCAGGAGGCGGCTCACGGCGTCCCGCAGGCAGCCCCCGGGCCCTCAGGGCTGTCCCCCCCGCCATCCACATCGACCAACCCCTTCGACAGCGGCGGCAGCCAGTCCACATGGAGCGGCTCGACCATCGTCGACGGCAGTGGCCCATACCAGGTCAGTCCTCTCGGTCTTTCTGCCATGGCCATCCATTCACCTGTGGCTGTGGCTGTGTGTGTGTGTGTGTGTGTCAGGCCGGCGTCGCTGGTGCTGCTGTTGGTGGTGGTGGTGGTGGGTCGTATCAGCCGTCGTCCTACCCCTTCCCCCCCTCGGTGTTCTACACCGCCCCTGCTGGCTCCGCCGCTGCTGCTGTCGGTGGTGTGGCCGGCGCGCCGCCATCGCTCGACCGGCGGCCGTCCTTCTCGGAGAGCGAAGAGGACGAAACCCTCGAGTGAGTGACGGGGCAGATCTGTGCACACACAACACATGGGAGGAGGCGCATGTGTGTGTGTGTGGTGTGGTGTGTGGTGTAGGAGTAGGGGCTTTTTGCGTTATGGGAGCGCCAAGAACGTCGAGGAGGAGATTGTGCGGGAGAGACAGGTGGGCGCTGTGTGGCACGGGGAGAGAGAGAGGGAGAGAGGGAGGGAGGGAGGGAGGGAAGGAGGGCGTGTTGACGCGAATGTCCGTGTGTATGTGTGTGTATGTGTATATATGTGTGTGTGTGTGTGTCTCAGGCGGGCATCCAGCAGATCGAGAAGGACATTCAAGGTCGGTCACTTGGCCGGAAGGCACCTGTAGCACTGCACACACATGGGCGGCTGGGTGGATCTGATCTGACTTGGTTTGGTTCCTGCAGGTATCCACTCGCTCTACCAGCAGCTGTCGCACCATGTCAACGTTCAGGGTGACACCATTGGTACACACACACACATACACACACCCACACACCGAACACACACACAAGTCGATGCCCACACAGGCTCTCTCTCTCTGTGTGTGTGCGCGTGTGTGCGTGCGGTGGTGTGCAGACAACATCGAGGCTCAGATGCGCGCAGTGGCCGACCGCACGGCCGATGCAGTGGAGCAGGTCGACAACGCAAGACGGCTGCAGAGAAGAAACACACGAAAACGGTCAGAATTCTCCCCCCCAGCCATTACCCTACCCGCCACACACACGGATGTATGTGTGGGGATCAAAACACCACTCTCTCTCTCTCTCTCTCTCTCTGCGTGTGTGTGTGCAGGTTTGTGTTGTTTCTGGTGGTCCTTTTGCTGCTGGTGGTGCTCTTCATCATGCTGGACTGGCAGCTGCACCTCACCGCGCCGTTCACACCACACCGCCATTACGCAATCTCGCCGGCATCAGGAGCGTTGTCCACCAGGGGGGAGCCAGAGGAGCCGGCACCGACCTGACGTGGTGGGTGGAATGGGTGGACGGACGATGGCTGCGTGCTGCGCACTCGTCCATCCATCCATCCATCCATGTGTGTGTATGTGCATTTGAGAGAGAGAGAGATCTGAGCAGTTTTTCTGTAACCGCGTAACAAAGGGAATTGGCTGACCGACCGACCGACAGCAGCATCATCCTGATGCTGGGTGGCTGGCTGGCTGTGTGTGTGTGTGCCGATCGGGCGAGTGAGAGTGTGGGGGCCATCTGTAGTGTACACCAACCCGTCACATCCATCTATCCATCGCCTGATGAATGAATTGACACATGTGTGTGACGGACGTATGTGTGTCGTGGGCGCGGTGCGTGCATGGGCGTGAGAGAGAGAGTGGGTGGGGCACCCTGGCGGATGCATGGCATCCACGAGAGAGACCCACCATCAGACAGACAGACAGACCGATCCTCGCTTGAGGTGAACCAACGCACAATGTCATGAACCGCGGAGGGAGTCTGAACGCACCGAGTCTCTCTGTCTTCATCCCAATCAATCAATCGGCATCCATCCATCCATGCAATGGGGGCGCTGTCGATGTCCAGACAGCCATTCGGTGTGGTCTTCCGCTGGATCCTCCTGCCGATGCAACGTTGTCAACCCTGGCAGTGGCCCCCCTCGCCGCATGTTACAATCGCCGCAAGGACCTCCGTGAGACTCACGAACGAGCTCGCACCCGTCTCGAGGCTCGTGGTGGGCCTTTTTCCAATTGCCTTTTTCACGGCACTCCACACACAAAAAGCATGTACCTCCTCATATTGGCACTGCTCCTCGCCGGCCAAGCCGTGCAGCATGCATCGGGCAGCCTCGTCAAATCCACTCAGCCTCAGCCCGACCCGAAGGAGGTCGGTGATAAAGAGAATATATTCCTCTTGATATCCATGCGAATGCAACATCTGTGCTGAATGCAGTTACTCTCTTTCTACCGGGGCAAGAGCAAAATCTCGAGGGGGTGAGACAGACACAGCGCACTTGGAATTTTGTCGTCACGCGGTTTTGTCTCATGCTCTTGTCGGATGCAGTGGAGGGGGATATTCGTCCATAGATGACATCTTCACATGGGACTACGGCACACTCAACAGGTTGCATGCCCAGAAAACCACTGCAAACTGTGTTCTCTTTCATTGTTTGCGACTGTGCATCATCCACTGACATTACCTCAGCCATGCTGCGTACCACCAGTGGCTGTTCCCGACATTCACCCGCTCGGAATACCACCCAGAGATACCCACACTCACCGAGGATGTTGCACGAACGTTTCGCGAGGACGAAAAGGTCAGTGAACAGGGGCACGACTACGGGGGTTTTCAGCTCATTTCTTGGCTTGCAGGTGGCCGAGAAGTTTTTCAAGGTGTTCAGCTTCTGGATTCGATTCATCGGGATGAACGGGGGTGAACTTGAGCCTGGTTCTCACGAGGCGGTGGGTCGTGACGAGGAAGAGTGGGCGATCAGTGACGAAGTCTTCAGTTGGGACGATCGGTACGCTTGTGATCGGAAGAGGACCATGCAAAGACCAACGTCGACCGTCGGCTTCTTTCCCGCCTTGGCTGTCTGTCTGCAGGTACTACAACGCCTTCATCCTATACAGCCATAATCGGCTGCGTATCTCTCGCGTCATCGAGTCGCTCTCTGTCCTCGGTAAGCGAATATCAGTGCATGGATGAGGAATATGGACAGCCTCGCGATTTGGCTGAGCACATGTTTTTCTAACTCTTTGACTGCAGGTCTCCGCGACTATGCGGCCGACCTGGTCGGTCACCTGGAGAACGAGATTCTGTGGAACATTTCTCCTCACAGAATGTACGCTGTTCACGGCCTGGGCCCTTCATGCATCGCTCGTGCAAGTACCAACGAGTACAAAAACGATCCAGTGGTCAAAGCCTTAGGCTACTGGCAAGACAAACTGGCCGAGACCAAGAAATATGCCCGACACGTCTCTGTCCTTTTGCGTTAGTGAAGGATGGCAAGACACAGAGAGGCGACAGTGAGGCAAGTGAGTGATCGTGGGGAGCGCGCCTCTATATCTCTTCCGTACGTGGCCTTGTCGCTTTTTTTTTCATCTGTCTGACTGTCTGTAACTGTCTGTCTGACTGTGTGCATGCACGTTTGCCAGTCAGTGCTGCGCTCTCAATAGGCGTGTTAGATCGCCGCATCACTGATATGGTCGGATGTGTGGTGTTGAGAGCTTTGCCTCATCATCCTAAGCACCCCTCCCCTCCTCTTCTCCTTCCGTCTGACTGTCTGAATGGACGGACGATTGCCTGATTGACATGCACGGTGGATGAACGATAGACGGAAGACACACAGACGAAGTGATATATATGGATGCATATATACACACGTCTCAGCCACGACCACACGGCCAGCCATCCGCTGGCTGCACGCACATCTGATGCGGCGCTTGTTGTGCCAGATACTTGACTTAGAAAACAACGACGATTGGCGTACTCACTTGTCACTGTCGAGGGCCCCATTGAGCGGTCACAACAAAAATTGAGCGGTTCTGTACAATTCCCGCTTATGCATAATTGTGCTGCCGAAACACGCTGAAGGCTTCACGGCCAGACGAAGAGACGAATCATTTACTTCCTGACACTTGAGACAGAGGGATTTTTGAGAGAATGTCTTGGAGTCGCTGCAGAGCTTGACGCAATGTCTGGGTGTGCGGTGTGCGGTGATACGCACGCAGAGAGGGCCTTCATTGCTGGAGCAATGAATCAATCGGCATGAATGGTCCTATGGTACACACCAACACACACACCACCCAACAGACAGACGGGCACTGGCAGACAGACCACCGTAAAAAAGTCCTCTTCATCACAGGCAGACAGCTGCACACAGCGGCTACTAGTTTGTGTCCAAATGCAGGCACGACATTTATATATGCAGGTCATGGCTGAATGGATGGATGGACTCAGTCGCCCGCCTCGCTGTCCGCCGATTCGATGTGGCCGAGTAAGCCACCTGTAGTGAGAGAGAGAGACAGACAAACACGGACAGAAGAAGACATCCAGCCAGTCGTGTGTGTGTGTGTGTTAGCCACTCACTCACTCACTCACTTCTGAATCGGTTGTTGTGAGGCCCACCGACGTGGACCCGCCTGACAGACAGACAGACAGACAGACGAATCAGTGAAGTTCCGGATGTGTGTGTGTGTGTGGGGGGGGGGGGGGG